TCCTTGGCCTTTATGGAGTCCCTGACCATTTACGGCCTGGTGATTGCTCTGGTGCTGCTGTTCGCCAACCCGCTCATCAAGTGAGTATAGCAAGAAATATGACTTTCTAATTCTAACCGATCTTTTTCCAGTAGGATATGTGGCTGCGAGGCCAACGTGTCGTAGCGGGCAATGAGAGCAAATTGTGCATGTGTTGCCTTTGCTGCGGTTTTGCGCTTTGGAGTTTGTCAAGGGTTCTATGTACATAACCATATTATAAGCATGATTGTTTTATTTCTTGCCTGACTGAGTATTTGGATGGCAACAGCATGCGACGGCCTTATAATATAGTTCAGTTTTGCTTCCTTGTCTCCTTGGTATGTGATATGAAATTTCTGTCGTGCCAGCCGTGGGCACTGGCCAGGAAAAAAGGAACATGCTTCGTCGACAGCCACATGCGCCCCCCTGAATAGAAACGTCTTCCGCCTCTTCCAGCTGGGCACCTCTTCACCGTGTCAGCCATGGCTCCAAGGGAGACGGCAATGGGCTGAAGGGTCGAGCACGGGGGGCGCCATGAGATGTGCTGCCTACGCCCCTTGGGGAAGAACGGGGGGGAAGAGGAGGGGAAGAACGGGGGTCGGAGGGTGACGTGGGATTCGACCCGGTGGGAGAAGTGCGGTCCAGTCCGGTAGGACGTCCGACCGGTAGCCAAAGGAATCTTCTTCAGCAAGAGAGACTCAACTTGTCATTTTGCCTGAGTGATGAGATGGTAACTCATTCGGCCCAGGGATGTGCCTCACATCGAAAGGCCTGTAACAATCCCCCATACTGTTCTCCTTTTGCCGCAGGATTTGCAACTCAGTCACCTTTGTAGATGTTTGGATGAACAAAGTTCTGGTGTAGTGGAAGAGGAGATGCCGAGCAAATCTGGGTAACTTGCAGTTGCCACCACTTTTATCCCGTCCATCCTTTGGTCAGCATGAAACATGTGTTTTCAGCCTATGAAACCAGTTTGGGGGGGATAGCTCACCATGTAGCTCCTCATGGCGACCCACGGGGGGCCAACGTCACAAAGGCATTTAGAAGGGCCTTTTGAGCCGCGCCGGAATGGGGTCTCTTGAGGCCCTTGTCCGACGCACCGGCGTTTGCACCGCACGGCGTTTGCCGCGCCAACGACTGCTCCGGCCTGAGGCGTTGATGCCCATCCTGGGCTTCTTCGCTGCCTGGAACTGTGCGAAGCTGCCCTTCTACTGGGTCCCTTGGACGGAGGAGGAGTCCGTAGCGGAGGTGCACCGGACCGAGCAGGGTCCGCCAGGCCCGGTCTCTGAGAGTGCCAGGCGCACCCCCAAAATCACCCAAGCCGCTCGCACCGGGAATAGGATCGATGAGACTTGGGGAGCCCTCGTCAGAATCCCACGTGCCGTCGTCCTGTTTGGCCATGTGTCGCGTGCCGCGAAAAGACATGTCACGAACCGATGGTGTAGATGACCGAAACCATCGGCATCTCGAGCTTCAGAGACATGAAGTCCATGGTGAAGTGGTTGGGTGGTTCTGGTTGTGGTTCTGGTCGTGCAAAGATTAGAGTCGCAGTGCATTTCTTTCACGATTCTTGTGACAAGAACATGTGTTGCATCGCACCTTGCATCGTTCGAGATCTTCCCCGTGGCCAGCCTGTGGCCCACTCGTGGCCCAGGAGAATGAACCCATGACAAATGTGACCTTCGACCCAGTCGAGTGCGCGAAGCCGGAGCCCAATCGACTTCAACACTGCTCTGGGCTGACCACGAGACTTGTCTCTGCCCGGACAAAGCTCGGACGAGACGAGATCGTGTTGCAGGTCGGACGGAGAGAAGGAGAGAAGGAAACCAGAGCAGCGACCAGATCGCAGTGAGCGAACGCGGAGTGAGCAGATCGCTGAGGACATTTGATTACCATGAGGTCGGATGAGGGTTTGTGAACCCCTGACACAGCGTAGAATTGTTTATTTTAAGCAAGCATACAGATGGCCACATGGAAGGTGAAGAGGGTGTGTCTTTGCTTTAGGTCGAGGCGAACTTGAAGAGTTTGGACCAGTTTTACGTGGTTTGCACCAGAGATAGAAACGCCTTGCTGTTGGAGTCATTGGACTTCTCAACCAAGCAGGATGGTTGCGTTCATTCGTCCCATTCGTCGTTGGGGATCAGATCGAGGGCACCTTCCCCCACTTCGACCAGTCGCCGATGTGCGCCAGTCGCCGGTGGCGGAAGCATCCTCTCTCTGAAGGAAGGATTCTGCTGGCACTGTGAAGGTCCTTGTCGAGGTATGTTTAATTATTAAATGCACAGGATACAGTACCCATACACTCCATGGGACTGCCAAATATATGCCAATCAATGGACCCCCAGTCAACCACCCCTGGCCGTGCCACTCGGCAGATCGGCATATTATGGAGCATCCATGGAGCGTTTGGGTGGCGGTCCCGACATCGAGTGACCACGCCCGCACCGGACTCGGAGCACCCACTGGCTCCGTTCGGAGCGTTCTGGTTCACTAGTAGCGATGGCCTCCAAATGACTTGCGATGGCCTCCACCTCATAGCGTCCTTGCTTGTGAATTCCCCCTAAAAAAGCTCTGAGGGAATACCATTTGTTTCGCGCCTTCAACGTGACCTCGGAGTATAAGCTCCAGGCCGCCAAGGACCGCGCGCGCGGCGCGGTGCAACGGGGGCCGTTCGGTTGCTCTGGTCCACTCGGACGACCGGAAGCACTCAGACTTCGGGAAAGGGAAACGCCTGATTCCAAGATTCCAAGGATTCAATTCAAAGAAGTCAACTTGGCTCAATAACCTGACCAAGATCGTTTCTAGCCGTCGCTCTTGGCATGGATCGACATGTGTTCACATTTAAAGAATGCATTTTGTCTCAATATCCTGACCAAGACCGTTTCTAGGATTGTTTGAAGAACTTCTGTGGGTGAAAACCACGATGGAACCCGTTGGATTTTGGGGCGACGTACGTTTTTTGTGAAGCCGCAACGAAAATGGAATGGCCAAGCCGGAGGTGCTGAAGCAAGCATTGCGAACTACAGTTTGGGTGGGTGAGCATGTTGGTCGTTGTATGTTCTTGTGTGCGGAGGACTTGTTCATTCTTCCGCATACCGCCATGGGCATTTGCTTAGCCGCTCGGTCAGAGAGGTTTTGTGAGTTCAAGAAAATTGAGTATTGGAGGTCCGACAGAAGTTTCAAGGTCTGAACGCAACAAGCAAGTCGTTCATGGAATGTTTTGGATTTCAGAGCTGTATTCAAGGACGTGTTACACTTAATTACGTTGAAAAAAGAGACATGGACGGACAGATGTCCTTTCCTTTCGAATGAGGAAGTCTTGTTTATCTTCGCGCTGGGCATGGGCAATCGAGGCAGTGCTGCCATGGTGTGTGCAGCGACGAGTAAGTGACCGAGCTACTGTACGGAATGCCGGCGAGAATGGTTTTGACAAAAAAAAGTGTCGTAAAACAATTCTTGACCATTTCCATCCACCCCACCCTCATTCCAAACATCCCGTTGCACCAAGCCTTCAAACTCAGTTGCAGAGGTCCGTCTTGCCAGGCTTGTACGAACACAGCAAGATCATGCTCCCCATGGCGGCCCTTTTTGCCATCCATATCATGCCAGTAGCGCAAGGCCGGGAGAACCGCCAGGGCCGGTACCAGATGATCTTCGACGAACGTCGACCGAAGCACTCGACTGGCAGTCTAACATAGTCTAACTAGTTGCTTCGGTCTACTCCCGTGGGCCTCCAACCTACTAGCAAACGATATCTGGACCTTCTTTAGGGGTGTCCTGTCTGGAGGTCCCTTAGTAGTGTAGGGGCTGATAAATTCGTGGCCCCGAACGGAAGGTGCTGGTATTAGACCTTCCTTCCTTTTCTTTTTTCTTGGTTTCTAATAGCCATGGCCTCCAACCTACCGTAGTGAGAAGAGGTGGTGTTCTCAAAATTCGGGCAATAAGACTCAAAGTGGCTGTGCTTCGATCAGATTGGGATGGGGGTGATGTTGAGTTGGACGTGCTCGGGTTGTCAGATATATGTGGTCGCTGTTACGTCCTTCCACGTTGGACACATGGAAGACCCGCCACTTGCCGCAAGCGCCCCCCCCTTGGAAGATCCGGAGACCAGAATCATCGAGCAAACTCGCCAAACAAGCCACGATCATCAAGGTATCCTAGAGCATCAAGAACTACAAACAACAGCTAAAATGCTAGAACTAGAATCTAAAATGATGGAATACCCGATGAATCCCGAACTCATCTGGTGTCCACAACTCGTCCTGCAACCCTTTCCGGACGTCGTCCAGTTCCCCCTGGAGAGGCATTCCCGACAGCCTCGCTGGTGTCGCCATCAACGAGATCTTGGCCTCCGCCTCGGTGGGCTTAAAGTTTAATCCATCACCAGAGGTTTGGGGGGTGTCCTGAAAGAGACAGGTTTCAGCATGGTTTCAGGCTGTAGTATGTAACACTATCTAACAAATGCCACTTGTCCATGCTTCCAGCATTGGCGACCACTGGAGTGACCAAGTGCCTTTCGGTCCAACGTGCCAGCCAACGCGGTCGTCCAGACGGTCGTGGGGACGTCGCCCAGGTAGCGCTCCTGCTCGTGGGGGTTGGGATGGGAGCGCTGGGCATGTACCAAGACTTCAAGGCCAATGATGGAGAGCCACCAACGCGCCAAAGAGCTGGGAAGTGGCTTGGAAGGTGAGTCACCGGTTCAAACTCGTGAGAGAGGTGAGTTTCGGGTCAGTTGCGAAGTACTTTTGACAGATTGACTTTGCACATGTCATTTACAACTCAGGCACTTTTGGATGTATATAGGAGCCTTCTTGTAGAAAAGGATATGGGTGTGTTGCACCACACTAGGCCTCCCAGCTACTGCAGATGTTCCTGCGACAAGCACCATTTCCCGCATGTGATTTGGACAATTCGGGCAGCGGCAACCTTGCACTTCCAAAAGCAACTATAGTTGGATTGTCCAACGGGCGGAGAAACGAAGTCAATCGTGCTACCATGACTGGTGGCATCCACCGTTCTTTCTTGCCAACTCTCAGCCAGGCCAAGTGTTCACCAACCGACCAACCTCCAACAAAGGCATCACCCCAAACTTTTTTGCAGCCGCCTGACAAAGAACAGGAGGACTAAGCATTTAAAGGACAGGACCCCACACATGGCAAGTCTTTCCGTGTTCTATCTTCTACCATGGATAGTCTACTCGTGACAAGTCTACCCACACAAAGTGGATTCGTCAGAGTCAACACTTCTATGCACTTCTACCCGCCAAGTTGAGGGTCTTTTGGTCAAGACCCCACACCAAGAACGCGGACACTGGTGTTGATTTGAGTCTATCTTGCAACCCCTCAAGTGTGTGGTAAGATCCGGCCTTCGAAACCGCTCACCAAGAGAAAGGAGTATGACCCGCATTCACTTTGGAGCTTCTTTGGCCTTTAAAGGAATGTAGGAAGACCTTCCTTTCCCTGATCTCCGCAGCTCCGCACCTGCACATCCCAACCAGAGCACCTTTCCCTTCGAAAATAGGAGATCCACACGGTGTACACTTTCCAGTGCTATATGAATGTAGTATACAAAAAAAAAAACCGCCTGAGAGTCTATACATACCGACCACGTCTTCACACCGTGGGAACCCACGTGGAGTCCACGGCTCTGTCGTTCCCCTTCACCACCAGCACCGGTCACCCGCGGGCCACGCCGAACCGTCCGCGTCCGGTCTCGGTCTTGTCGTCCCGCGTGGCTCTCAGGCTGCTGTTCTCCTCGTGGATCCTCATCGGGGCCCGGGAACTTGGGAACTCGGGCATCGGACCGCGGGATCGGGCGGAACGGGGGCGGGCTTTGCTGCGTGGTGCCGTCTGCGGCTCTCGGGCCTTGTGGCGCAATCCAGCTGAGGATGCTCTCACCCTGATGTGTGTCTTAAGTTTAATCTTGTTTTGATTTGAAGGTTCAACTTTGCGGGTGCGGAGTGGCTTAGCACCTCAAGATCCCCCCTAGCTCCGGAGAGACAGAATTGGAAATTCAGAGCTGTCTCTCCTTTTCTCCCCGAACATCTTCTTCGAACCGCATTGAATGCGTCAGTCCCTCGTGTTCCACGTCTCAGCCAGTGCTCCAAGGTGCTGGTGAACTTGGCTCCCGTCGGCGAGCCCCTTGGAGCGGGTCACACCGGGTCAGAGCGGGCGCTTCGGGGCGGATGGAGGGGGTCGCATCGGATGGAGGGGGGACCAACCGGTCCCGATCCAGTCAGAAATCCTAGGGCTCCAGTCATACCGAACCTGAGGAGGTACGACTGGAGCCCTAGGGAAAGGACACAATGATGGGGACCAAAGGAGATTCTATATATACTGTGACTCACATGGGGGATCCGGGAACCAGCAGGTTGAGTGGATTCTTCAAGGCTAGTGGTGTTTGGTAATGTTGCTCAAAAAGAGGGGGAGCGGTTCTTTTGGGGCATACCGAACGGGTCGAGTGTTTCTCTCCAATGCGGCACTTGGTCACCGTTCACTTCTACCTCCCCCGGTGCCCTTGCCAAACAGAAAACAACCCTCCGTTCGTTCGGCACCCCGAGCGAGCTCTGTGACTCCTGGTACATACAAGCATTTACTTTGTCTTTTGAAAGGCACTTCGTTGTGGTCCCATTGTAACTTTGTTCCTAATAGCAAACATTGTTACTACTAGTAAGGCACTTGTTACTAGAAGCGATGCACTTGTTCCTAGTAGCTGCAAAAAACCTTCCAACTTTCCCAGTCCACAAGACTCTACGTCTGCCACCCGCCCCGCATCCACCACCACGTCTGCCACGCGTCCCGCCCAGATGGCTCATGCTGCTGTCGGCCTGGAACTCGAAGGCTTCGCCGGATGTGCCACACCCCAACTCTGGCCACGACTTCTACTCCAAGTTGAGCCCCTGGGACCTGTCGGACCGGGATCGGTGGGGCAAACAGAGCGGCACGTGGTGGGTTTCAGCGCCACCACGGCAAGAAGAGATGGGATTTGGGCACCATGAGCTGCAGAGTTGTCGCTGCGCTTCTTCTTCTTGGACGGCTACTTGTACCTTCTCATGGGAAATTAAGGAACTCTCAGAAGTGAGATCGAACTGAACCTCTTGATGTATGGCTTGGAGATGGACAGCATCAAAAGTACCTTTCAATATTTCATGAGGAGTGGTCCGCAACTGATATATGTTGTTCTTGGGCAGCGTGATATGATATCGAACAAAACCGGAAACCCTGTGTGTTCCGCACGCACAGTCCAAGGCTCCAAAGCATTCCCAAAGCCAATGCTCATGTACTGCAGATGCAAGGGCGGAACCACCCAGAGCTAATTTCTTTGCTTCAAACGGATCAGCCCCTCAAGCAAGTTGGTCCAAGCAGTGTGATGGGAGCTGATTATATTGCGAGGGCAGCCTGATCCGGCCTTTGACTAGATGGTTGGCTCGATGGGTGCCTGGAATCCTGGTGTTCACTGTTCCGTCCTGTGCCTTTGTTCTTCTCAGACCGAGGTTGTCCATGGTTGGGCCGTATCGCATCAGCCTCAGGAAGGAATCTTGTCATGGCGCTTGCTGATGGGTGTGATTTTCATTGTGATGTCCACAACAAAAGGGATTGAAAAATGGAGTTCCTCTTCGACCATCCCTCGAGCATCGCTGTCGTTGTGCTCTGTCACGTTGTGGAAGTGGCTTTGCAAGCACCTGTGGGGCTTCGCCAAGGCCGCGGCCTTTGCGCTGTTCAATGTCTTTATGTATGCCTTCGATTCTTGGCTGAGCCATAATGGCTAAGTAGGGTGAGACCTCTGGCCCACTCAGTACGGAGGGAGCCTGTGTTGAGACCGAACCACTTCAACTCACTCAGGACGTCTATGCCGAAGCACAGGGCGCCCGATGGCGAAGTCCCTTCAGCAGGAGACAGAGGGCTGGGCACGGGACCGTGAGACCCGAAGCAGATCATCCGGATTTGGAGTAGACCAAGTCACTTGAATCGCTCTTAGGTTGGAGGCCATCGCTTTTGGGTTCCTTTAAAGTCTTTTTTCTATCATATGTCGATCTCACTGCGTTGGGTGTGCCTTTGCGTTTCCCGATTCCTGGTGATGACTGGAGGTGTTTTGCCAGCCCTGCACGTACTCGCAGGCACGGGCCGGCACTTTGGCAACTGGCAAGGATGCCATATCCTGATGTGCCCTGGCTTCCGAAAGTGTGAAATCTGTGACAGTGAGGTTAGTTCCTCCAGCGAGGGCTGTTGTCATCAATGTTAATTCACACATGTGCGCTTTTTGGTCCGTTCCGAATGGCCTTGAATGTGCTCAATAGTCAGAACAAATCCATTCACACAAGTCAAGGCTAGTCGCCGCGAACGTTTGCTGAGAGTTGCGCACAAACCACGGGTGGTATTAGGAGCGGGTCAGTGATTTCTGGCTAAAACACCTGCAACACTCGGGGTGTTAGGTGCATGTTCCTTGATCCTTGTTTCGCTTCAATAAAGTGCTTTCCTAGTTTACTGAGAATGGCCACAGGTGCCAAGTCTACTTACGAAGTTGTATGATGCTGTATGAAGTCATAGCACCAATTGGGATCAGACAACCATTAGTCATTAGTCAAAAATGGTATCTGGATTGCAGTATACCAAACCTTTGCTGCTGAATCTGGTATCTCACAGCAACCATTCTGTTCATGGCACCAGGTGGAGAGCAAATTCTACCAGATGCCCGAGCGTTGGTTGGAAGCCACTGGCGAGTGCTTCGTTTTGTGCATCGGGGTCTCCTGGTTGGTTACCGCCATGTTCAACCCAGGCACGGTTTTGGCATCATGGGCCAAGTGTCACAGCAGAGACACTCTGTAGATAAGGGGATCCAGCATCTTCCAGTAGATATCCTAGTCCTTCTTGGGTGTGTGTGTGTGTAGTTGGGCCTTCAGGTGTCGCCATTGGTGCACAGCTTTTTGAACAAAAGCAACTGCTGTGGGCTGGTGACTGCTGACTGCGGGGGACACAAAACGAGCCTGAGACCATCAGCTTTTTGGTAGTGTCTACCTAGTTGAACAATGCTGCTACTCTTCGCTGCTCCTTTGGAGGCATCTTCAGAGACAATATTCTCCGCAGCATAGTTGGCTACAACAATCTCTGCGACGCTTGACCTGCAATTGAGCCGAAAGATTCGTGTTGAACCTTTCCTCCACCGACGCTTGTGACATTGTGATCCACGGGTGTTCCTGGTTTCTGCAGAATGGTGCCTTGCTCTCCACTCCTGAAGCCTCGACCCGACTCCAGCCCAAAACGGAAGACAACTGGGGACCGAAGCCTCGAGGGTGACGTGAATCACGGTCGGGGTGGGTGCCCGCAACTTGCAACGCGCAGAGTCGTGAGAATGACAAGGAGCGCTCACTGGGCCACCCAAATAGCCCTTCTAAGTGGCATGCCCATCTGATCAATGACTTAGGCTTAGGAAAGGACTGGGAAGGATCCTACTTGGCATCTCCTTTCACTTCCGATACCATCTCAGTACGCATTGGGTTTCTTTCATTTGACCCTTGACCGTATGTAGACACAGACGCGAAAATCACCGTCCAGGTCGGCTTTGACAGCCCTCCAGCAAGATACGTTGCCATGCCTCTCATGGTGCTGCAAGCCGTTATGGCGGCACGTGGCTTGGGTGAAGCTGTGTGTGAGATGTCCAAAATTGTCAGGTAACAGGTGACTTTTGGAGGGAAAGGAAATTGGTGCAAACGAAGAAACCAAGAAGTTGCAGTGAAAGAGCTTGCTCGTCATGTCGGGAATGTCTTTGGCTTTTGAAAGAAGTCATGATTCTTCCGAACACTTTTCGAAAAGCGGTCTTCGGAAGCGGCGCGATCTTGGCCAGGGTGCACACCTTGCCCGGCGTAAACCGCTGAGGCTACAGTTATTTGGACACCATCCGCTTGAAAGCCACCCGAGCGTACCTGTCCAACTTCCAGTTTCAGCTGCTCGGACCGATCGGTCGCGAACGACACGAACGAAGGGACCTCGGCGAACGAGGCCGATGACCCAAATCCGCTGATGTTTGATGTTTTGGGGGGGCCTTTCCCGGATTCAACCTCAGCCAAGTTGAGGTCTCACGCACAGGCAGGTAACGCAATTAGGTGAGCATAGTGGTGAGCATCTAGACAGTTCTTTAGTTATTTTCGTTTGTTTTTTATTCATTGAGTTTCTCAGGATACCAAGCAGATCCAAGCAGAACTGACTCTGAAACTCACTCCTACCGACAGTTGACGGTCATCCGCTTTGCTTCAATCGCAACTGTGCACCGCTGGGGTCCCCTCACCGCTGAGGCTGGGATACTGGGCCAACACCATCTTCGCGGCTCGAAGCTCAGGGCTGCTGACGTATGCTCTTCTGACGTAAGCTGGAAGTGACATGTCCAACTCTTTCCAGTGCATCCATGTGCATCGTAGCTTCCGTTCAACGATCGATGTGGGACACATCTGTAAAGAATTGCTAGGAGCGTTCGGACGCTACGGGGCTCCTGGCCTTACTACGAACGGAGCGATCGGACGCTTTAACCTGCACTTTCTGATGACAGTTCTTCATATTAAACGGCACTCTCGAAGACCCTGGCCTCAGGGAGCTTTGGAACCCTGCTCCAAATGCGCACTCCAGTTGGCACCAACGGTTCCGCTGAAGCGAAGCACATCAGGTGGATGACCGGTAAAGGCTCCGTGGATCATGGCGTTCTCAGGTGTGGATGGCTTGCTTCCCCATGTTGCTGGTCATCACGGCAGAGTTCGATAGTTGGACTAGCACGAAGGCTCGAATCGATGGTGAGAAGATGTTCGGTCAGAAGTTGAGATGTTCTATGACCGAAGCTTTGACACTCTTGACAAAAAGATGACTTAGACAGATGGGGGTCCATATAAACCACACAATGACAACGTGTGACATGTGTGCCATCGAAGCTCTGAAAGCGATGTTCGGGAGTCTCACGGTGCCTGGCAGATCCACCTCTTCCTCTTCATGGCCACATTGTTGCTCGGATGGGGTGATGGTGCTGACCTTCAGTCTATCCATTAAAGGGGAAGACAGATGAAGACAGTGATAGCAGAGAACCTGAAGACAGAGGTGGGATCATCAAAAGCACTGATAAATGCAGACTCAACTAGGGATGGACACAGGCAACTGAGTCACTTCTTTGATGGTTTCCCAAGTTGAATTGAACCATGACTCACAGATCCTCAGCATGGTTAAATTCAAGTTGACGAACACAGGCAACAAATCCACATCCAGAGCCTGACACAGGCAACTGAGTCTTCAGCATTGTTTGAACACATCCAAAAGGTGGTCAGACTCCCCTTCGTGTGACCACCGGTCCCTTCGTCACCGGTGGTCGTGTGGTGTCCGCGATGGTGGAAAAGCCCAGCGGTTCGACACGGTGAGACCCATTGGTGAAGTCGGTGGTGAAGTCGGTGGGTTTGTCCGACCTGTAACAGCCAGCAAACAATGATCACTAGAGATGGAAAGGCCTGCCACCAGGCACCTATCATCCACGAATAGGCCCTGGGAGCTTAGGATAGACCCAACATAGGATCCTTTTCCCCCACGGATTCGGGAGATATTGGGACCATGGGATTCGGGAGACCCGCGAGGAAATAGCGGTGGACTGGGTGAGAACAAATTCACCACGGATTCATGCTGGGTGAACTGACTCACGGCAAGGTGGAACCACAGCTTGGCTGTTCTTTGCTTTGTTCCTTTGAACTTCACAGCAAAGCTCGAACTTGAGCTCCAAAAACGGAGAACTGAGCAGGTTCTAAGAGCGGCTTTGACGCATAGAACATGTCTTTCCAAAGACGTTCAGCAGCTGCGCGGCCGTTGAGGTTCATCATGTGGGCTATGATCGCCGGCAATGTCGTGGAAGCACCGGAGCTTGAGCCACTTCCGCCAGCAAGGGAGCCACGTCCACGTCCTCGATCCGTAGGGACCCCTTTTTCCTCGAAGGTTGGGGGAGACATCGAGTGCCTGAAAACAAGTGGACCCCCTGGAGCAAAACACTTGGTTCAACTTGTTCAACTTGTCATCAAACACTTTTTCTGAAAACAAGTTGGTTCCTAGATGTTTGAGAAAAACGGACAAATAAACATGATTATGATGTCAATCGGACTTGTATACGTCCCGCGCATGTGAGCATTTGAGCCGTGCTTGGCTTTGAGGGGCTATAGCCTTCCCTAATTTTCCTCAACTTCTTTGTGAGGCTCTTTGACAGGGAAGCCCTTACCGAGAAGTTTTACCCCCTGGCGGATATTTGTAGACGGCCGCACGATTCCCACGTGTGCCCATGAATGCCCATGAGTCCGGTTTCCGAAGTGACCTGGGCCCCCTGATCAATCAAGTGTTTGGAAGTTCCGACAAATACAATATATAGAAAGAAACAGAGCAACCCACATAATGGGAACGAATAAACGGATGACCCCTCCGATTTCGGAAGTCTCTGAATGTCCTGTAATGGAATCTATCAGGAGTACGGATCAAGATATCAAGAAAGTTCAAGATCCAACATGAGGGTCTGCGACGATTTCCATCGCCTGCAGCTTTTCCATCCTTCGGTGCTCGACCTGTCGGCCCTGGCGGTTTGACGCCGTTCGAGGTTGGGGACGAAGGTTTGGTTCGGGCTCTTCACCATGCACACGTTCCTCCTGCCGGTGGTGGGGGTCATTGATGTGTTGAGCTTTCATCCGGTGCGGCAGCTCAGTGTTCAGTGCGTTTGGTTGACCCAGATGAAGGACTGAAGTGAAGACAAGTCAGAGATACTGGCCAGAAATTGCCATGGGCAACGATTGAGAGCCCAATGACACAGAAATGATGCGATAGAGCAACATCAAAGTCAATGATATGAAGACGATGTGCAAGTACAATATGGATAATGTGGACTACAACCTTGCTCGAGTGAAAGCTGCGATCTTCAAGTAGATTATATAGATTATAGCTTTGAACTGAGCACAGTTGGCAGAGTGATCCCTTTTGAAATTGGAGGCAAGGTTATTGAGCTCATAGGACAGCATGTCTTCCTGACAGGTTGCCAGGAGAAAGTTGCAGTTGTCCAACTGTGGGCAACCCTTGCCACCAAAATCCAAAGCTCACTCCACCAGCATGTGTTCCCTCCATCCTTCCGGGTGCACCCCCGGTGTCCAAGCGCCCGCGCCGGCTTCGCGCGCTGAGGATTTGAAGCCGGAAGAGATCCCTTCGATCCGCCACGAATTTCCACACCCGCCGATCCCCTGGCCGGTGGTGGCCTACCTGGACTACGGCTGGACGCTCGCAGCCGTACGCTCGCGGTGTGTGGGGGCGAGGATCGTGCGGTGGGAAAGTGCCGGGGAAGGGGACTGCTCGGTGTGAGTGGGTGCGCCAGTCTTATGACTCGTGTGTCAAAGTCATCCTGGGCTTTTCCTGAAAGTCACAGTTGCCAGGAATGATGTATGGTTCCTTGTAGGTTTGAATGCAGGTGGCACGCACATCAAACACCCATGCTTGGTGGGTGGAGACTTTTCGAAAAGAGTTCCTGTAATCGAAACGGGAGCCCTTCGTTCTTCCACAGCATGTTCTACAAAAAGTTAATTCGTATGGCATCTATTTGCGGTTTGTCTAAGTGTCTCTAGCAAAACTCTCGACTCTCCTTGACGCAAACTGGATATGTCATCGAAAGCGGCTTCGATTTGTCGGCACGTTTTGTTTCCCGTCAATTTGGTGTTTGCTTGTTTTTTTTTAACGGGGCATGGAGAAGCAAGCACCACACAATTTCTCGCAAAAGGACCATAGTCATGAAAGACCTCAAATCTATAGACTTCACTGTGTCACATACATACTTCCCCAGGTTTGAAATCATTGTTAGAACCTGTGGACTCAGATGTGCCAGGATACATGTTTTCCCCATGGTTTGGTGTCTCCTCAGGTTCCTGTTGCTCATGTTGACGGTGGTCTTCTTGCCGGAAGCGCCTCCGGCTTGGGACCCCCAGATGGCCAGAGACGGCGGGAGCGGTGCGGAGGCAGCACGGGCAGAGTGGACCATCATTCCATCTTGCGCCGGTTGAACCGAAATTGGGTCACAAAAGTACGCCTACTCATGCCTACTCTGTTTAAGGGGCTGGCGCCCACCAGCGGGCCAGCAGGCCCACCATCAGAGGTTGTGCACTGTTGTTGTTGGTGTTGTGGTTGTTGTCGTGGTCGTTGCTGTTGCTGTTGCTGTTGTTGTGGTGGTGGTGGTTTTGGTTGTTGTTGTTGTTGTTGGTGGTGGTGGTGGTGGTTTGTTGTTTGTTGTTGTTTTTGTGTTTGTTTTGTTTTGTTTGTTTGGTTTTGTTTTGTTTGTTTGTTTAGTTGCTTTGTTGTTGTTGTTGTTGTTGTTGTGGTGGTGTGGAAACCTCTCAACTCCAAGGAAAGGAGGCGTTGGATGATGTTCTCTAGCAGTACATGAAATTTGGTTGAGTTGGGCGATGTCTTTGGTCCAGGCTGAGGCTCCATCGTAAGTTTGTCCAGGGGCGGCAGCACATCCTGATTTGCCAAAGTGTTTGGGATCATTGGTCATGATTGGTCTATTTATCAATACGATGACCAGACAAGGAAGGAAGTAAACCACGAATTGTAAGCAAAGACTGTCACTTCCTGCCGGGGAATATGGCCCACCAGCCAGTTTCCCAGCCAATCTAAGCAAAAACAATCGGTTGCGTAAGAGACATGAGGATAGGTCCAAATCAATCTGGGTGAGAGACCAAACCCGGTCGATTTGCTGGCTTCGCCAGCTTTTTGCGGTGTTTTGCCCGTGTTTTCGCGCGCTGCTTGGTGCAGTTCAGCATCATCCAATCGTTTGTTTCGCTTTGTTTCTTCCTGCGCCGCAGGTGGAGACCAAGATGAGAGTGGACATGAACGTGGCCTATGGAAAGTCTTACAGCCAGTCCTCGCAAGAATCGGAGGACGGAGAAGATGGGTTTACATGTGAATCAATCAGTGTCAAAGCGTCAATCCACTGTGTTTGGCAAGAGTCTTGACTAGCAAGCAGTTTTGAGCCACAAGTCCGTTTGAGCACCCAGAGTCCCACTTGCTTTCATGCTGATGTCAGTCCAGCCTCTTCAAGTAAAGCAGTCCATTCGTTTGCAACACTTCCACCCATGCTCATCAGTCAGGGCGTCTCTTCTCGTCGAAACAATGCTCGCCGCCATGGGTCTTTGGGGAAACAGGTCGTAGGGCACAACTCGTGTCGCGTCCAGCGGCCGCTGAAGCGTCGCCGCGGTCGCCTTTTTCGATCGGCGTGCGTCCACGGCGGTTCCGAGCAGGAGGAATCTGACTCAGAAGGACCAGGGAATCCGTTTGGTTCGCGGGTTGTTCAGACGGGGGTTGAAACCCAATTTTGAAGAATTGGCAGGGTTTTTTCAAAGAGGATGTTCACAGAATGTAGCTTCAGATGCAGTTCGCTTTGCTCTAGAAAAAACATCTGGAAGTAGGACCCACGCATCATGGCCCTGAGTTTCGCGATATAATTGATCGAAGAGGTTATTGGATTGTATTCACTTCGGAGGCGGGGTGAGCAGCAGGATCGGGAGGTCTTAAGTTCTTGCTACCGCAGGACCAGGAGATTTCAAATGTATTGCTTCTGGGCCGCAAGAAGCCATCGGAAGATCCCAACTCTGAGAAACTCTGAGAACACACGAAAAGGTGTGACATGGAAGTCCAAGACCCTTTTGAAAAAGGTTGATCTGGCTAAAACAATGGTTTTTCCGGATTCAGGCTCGTCTCAAAATGGTGGTTCGACTTCTAGGGTGTGTGCCAGACAGGGTCGAAGTTCTCCCTCCAGTTGGTCTAAGTGTGTCGACTTCTCAAGGTTTGCGATGAAGAAGACTAGCGGAGGACAAAGGACTGCGGGTGCTTCTCATCAGGGACCGGAAGTTCACACATATGCAATGGATGCATTGGCCCAACAGCTTTTGGCGTCCGCAAGCCTCCATTTTGCTTCAAGACGTGGTAGGGAGAAACCACGTTTTCCTTTTGAAGCAGCATGTCCAGGACGATTTCCTCCGCTTCAATTACGCACTAATTCGAGCGAAATGACCAAATGCGTGCATTGCTTGGAAAACAGATTCGAGGATATTTACATGTGCGAAATTGTGTAATTGATAGACACCTTGTTTTGAGTTGCGGTTGATAGGGTGTTTCTTTTCGTCATCGACTGTTCGCAACTCAATGAATATTACCAGGTTTGAGTAAGGCTGTGAGGTCACGGAAAAACAGGAAGAGCCATGTTTGACAGGACAGCAAAATCTGGTTGTAGACGAAGAGCTAAATGACAATAGGAGTAGCCAAGTCACACGAAAACAATTTGAACAAGAGTGGAAAGAACAAGAACAGAAAACACGTAAAGACGTAAAGCAGCAGGCACGAAAGAGTGCAAGTCTACAAAAATTGCATATGTTTGCTTGCTGATTAGATGCCCACGGACTTGGTAAATGATATGATATCCATTGCAAGAGATGTTATGATGCCTTTCGTTCCTCGTCTGTGGAAAGTGGAACTCCCCAAAACAGGCCTAGCGGCCCAGCGCCTGTCCGGTTTACCAGCAGGTGACACTTTCAGCCAGAGTGTCCACGTCCTTAGCTGCCTGGAAACTTACGTTTTGTACATTCGAACCGCGTCTTTAAAACTTACGTGTGGAGCCGTACGTTGCTACGTTTTGGAACTCAGATGCGTTTTTAGAGGTGCCCGGAAAGCATGCGGATGCCGAACCTCTACCTGATGTTGGCCATATCATTCCACCAGATGCAGTTCTAGGCCGCTGGCCTGAGCGGCATGTGACCGCTGAGCAGAAAGAATACCTCGAAAAACACTTTTCTTTGGCATACTTTTTGGGAAGAAGGCATTACTTATGCCTTTCTTGCCCCCGGCGGTGTTCGTAAGCAGGGATTGTAAGGCTTATGGAACACATATGCTTCCCCAAGTTTTTGAAGGCAGGGAGAAAATTCGAAGTAATGAGTCTAGATATTTTTTGGCAACTTGGAAAAAACGCATTTGGTGATATGCATTTTTGGTAGGGATAGATATCGAAGTATATCGGAAGAATGTGTTTAGATGTTTTTTTGGAATTTGGAATAATGCATTTGATGACGGGATTTTTTGTGGGGATGAATTTATAAACAAAGTGTTAGAGGATGTGTTTTGTTATTATAGGTGAAAGAGTATTGTAAAATAATCCTCTAAACTTTGGTGCGGACACTTTTTTTTCTTTTTTTTTTTTTTTTTTTTCATAGTAAAAGAGAGAACGGAAACATGCAATTGCCGTGGTATGCAATGTAATGGCTTTTGAAGGCTGTTGTGAGGATACTTGGTAGTAATTCCTTGACTTTGGGGCTTCCGATTATAAATTATCGTCTCGATAAAGGCTGTGGATGGTGATTCGCTAATTGGAGAGAAATTGATGCGAAGCTGGTAGAGAAAGTTTAAAACTTCGGCCCATGGATTTTTTATCCCGATGGAGCAACCTTAAAGGAATAGACTTTGGTGATTTTTTATATTATTAAACATTAAGAAAAGCGTAATTATTTTAGGTTTGCGGATTGCGATTATAATCGTATTGATGTATCGTTTTTGAAGTAAGGATTACAAAAGATGATGATATAGGAGATTTTTGCATTGTTAGGGAGTAACTAGAATATTGTAAGGACATGTATTCGTGGCTTCAAAGACCTAAATGCACTTCTAACAATGAAAGAAAAGCATCCGGTATCTTTAATATATAGGTAGATTAGGAGGCGGCTAAATATGCGCCTTGGATTTTTACGCCACTAAAGTTGGTGCATTCGTTGGATGTGTTGTTTTTTTGAGTTGGTCAAGGCAATCAGCTTTTGATGGAGATGGCGTTGCATTTGGACATGGTTGGCAACTCGCAGGGGCAATCGGAGAGATTCTGGGCCACCCTGTTTAGGCAATGTGCCCCGATTCGGACTAGTCTGTTGCCACAGACAAAGCAGGTTTTGATGAAGGTGGTGATAGACTGGCGCCTTCTTTATTCCAGTGCAAAGTACCGCAATAGGAAGATACAGCCAATTCGCAACTTCATCAAATTGCGACATCCAATCGCTCGCAGAGAAAACGGCCTTCTTCCGATGGAAGAGACAGTAGAAGAGGGTGTTCATACTGACTTGTCATCTTCTAGCTCATCTTCTGTTGACGAGTCATCAGGTTCCGATGTGCCTTTAGTACATTTACAGGAAGAGGCTGATGGTGAAGTTCCTCATCGACTAGAAGTGTTTGAAGAGGATTTGCTGGCGGATTTTTTGAACGTGTCCTGGCAAGTTGAAAATGGCAAGTTGAAAAAGAACAGCACACAGATGCGTTTTTCCGAGGACAGTAATGTATATAGGTGTTTGGCTGGGATCTGGATATTCCGAGGGGGGCCGTAGATTTTGGATTACACGTTTCGAACTTTGTGTTTTACGTTTGCGTGCCGGGGTGCCAAGTTAACGTCTCATCTCAATTTTTAACGATTTCCCCCATCCTACCCCGGTTCGTATGTTTGCAATTAGAACCAAAAGGATCAACCTTCAAAATGATTGCCCTTGCTTGCAACTTGTATGACCCTGACATGGGTTGCATATCATACAAACCCTTTTAAAAAATCTACAACGAAGGTTGGTGTCTGTCGCTCTACGACCGATCGAACGGTGCAGCCCGTTCGTCTCGCACGGTGGCTTGGGTCGCCTCCCAAGAGGCCGGGGCCGGATCAATTCGTTCTTGTGGAAAGCCTAACCAAAATTCCATCCAACCAACGACCTGGATCCAATAGGATCGCCACACGTCAGCTTGTCAGGAAAGCAGTCACAAGAACTCGAAAGTGCGGCTAATTCGAAAGCCGCACTTAAAACGAACGCCTCTCGAATGAAGCCACTTTTACACGGAGGCAGCAAGTCAGTGGTTTCACGGAAGGAAAGCCGCTATAAAGCTCTAACTACAAATGAACAGGTCATCAAATGAAAGGGATGACCTCGCAAAAGGATTTCACGAACTAGAGAACAGTCATGCACTCCACGTGTTGCTTTCAAAGGTCCGCTCACAAATGACTATCCTGTGGCACCTTTTCTGCTTTCATAGCAGCCTGACAAAAAAAATAACGAAGTGCCATGCACCATAGTGCAACCAACAAATATCCCAAATGAAATGTTTCAAGTGAATGCTGTAACTGCTTACCAGACGCCCAGCAGTCACTGGTAGATCCAAACAAGGATGACGTCCCCCCGGGCCTAGGAACTTGCACTCTCACACTGAGTGCCTTGTGGGTCAAGCACAAAAAGACATGTCTCAGGAGCCGGAGTATTGCAGCAAAAAGTTTGCACAGCAGTGCAAATGCCCTTGCACCAAGATACCCCAGCGCGCAACGCTACCACAGCGTGGAGGAACTGCATATTCAGTTCAGAGTGTGGTGCAGCATTTTTTTGTGGTTATTGCAGTCGAAAATCCTACGAACGACTTTGTTTAAATTCTCATTTTAAGGTGGAAGAACTCATTTTAAGGTGGAAGAACTCAGTAAGAGAGATATGGCTTGTTTTTGCAGCAAAAATTGACTGATATGTCCTCTCCGCCGAGGAAGATCAAGCTCCCTAATCAACAAGAGCGTCTTGCAACATCTTGCAACATCTGCTGCATTCGTGGGGTTCCACTTCGTAGCTTGAAAAGGACACGTTCGTCTGGTTAAGAATTTGTGAAGGCTGTGAATTCCAAAAATGACGTGTCGCAAAGCGTGGATATTTTGATGGCATCCGCAATGAAACTCTCACATCCACAACGAGGAATCTCAACCATGTATGAAAGGCTTTCTCAGCCGCTTGATTAGGGAACATCCCAAGTAGCGCCACAAAATGCTCAGGTCCTGTCTTATTTGCGCCAATTACGACAGAGGCATGGCAAGGCGGATCGCTTTGCTTTGTTGGAAGTGTGCTCTGATGACAAAAGGTTCAAACAGGTTTGTGTTCTGTGGCAAATTGCACCCCAATAGAATTGGGGTGTCATTGATGTCAAACCACTTTTTACAAAGCTATGATGTCCAGCCGTCAAGAAGAGTTCCATTTCAAAAAATCTTCATGTAAGAAAAATTCGATACATTCCAGGTCATGCAACGAATAACTGGAACTGTCTTTTCTGCACCATGCATGTTGGGGAATGCCGTCGAAAGAGGCGCCAGGGCACATCCGTGGCAAAGAGGCAACCTTTTCGTTGGAGAATATCGCTTCCGTTTCTGTGCTTCCATATCATTACGTTAAATTTCGCAAATATAGCCAAAAACGGAAAAATTCAATTTCCAAAAAACATCAGTTATAACTTCCAAATTCAACCCTTTTTGCCTCTTTCAATTTTCGGTCGCCCATTCCAAGTACATGTTGCAATACATTGCATGCACAGATTGATCACAGCTGTAAAGGGCCACGGATGTGGAGAACGACCAGGCCGCCTTGGTACGGCCTACTCCACACACGTTTCATGTTTCTCACGCATAACAGGAACTGCACATGCTGTGAAGGTGACAGGAAACTGTTCTCCTCTTGTGCATGCCATTGGCTTCCAGCGAGCAGACAACGGCATACTATAAGCAACTGCAGATCTTTAATGGGACCGTGTGAAGATAAATCAGGAGACCTGTGATGGGACCTGCGAGTTGAACTTGAAGAAGCGCACAGCAGCCAAAAATAACCCTACTCCTCAAGAATCAAGACAAAAAATTGGTTGATACACGAAGTTCTGACGATCCATCAAGTCTGCCGGAATGGTTAATATTATCAATATTCATTTAGAACGAAGCTTACGAAATATAGTTTTCGTAAAAGCCATTTTATAAATACATTCAACAAAAAAGAAAGTATATACACACATATATGGCTTTTTAAGGCAAAACTTGTCCAGAGTATCAAATTTAAATTGTTATTTAACAACGCACGGAAGTAGAATTTTAGAAGATATAGTAAAAACAAATTGGTTTTCAATGATCAACTTGTGAATCCGTGTCCGTCAAATTTCGAGGCCATGCTTCAGTGCCGACAACCAAGTCCGCCTGAGCGACCAGAATACGAATCTTCTCGATCAAAGCTGCGGCTTCCTTACAGTTTTCTCTTTGGGACAAATCCGAGAATGACGTGGTCCATGTTCAACAGGCCGAAGTGTCATGCTGTTTGCATCAGGTCCTGTGATCTCCAGAATGCAGGTTCATCTTGGCTAGGTGGATTGAGCTTTCAACTCACCCATCAAAAACCATTTGGTGCTGTTTGGGGGCACCTGCTGAGGTCGTGGCAAGGTGCTACGGATAAACACCAGGATGGTTGCGTTGGTCACGTACACAATCCCATCCCTCAGACGTGCAAGTCCTGAATCGTGCAATCACCATCTTTTGTTTCTTGAAGGACGATGGGGGCGTAAAGTTGGCGTGAGTCCTCAGGGGCTTCAAGCCTTGCCTCCCAATTTGGAAGTTGATCTTCCACCTCCATGTGCATCCCCATGCAATGGCTTGCTTGTCAGCCAGCAAACAAATTCAGCAGAGTCCTGGTGTGTCTCCATTTCATGATTCGTGCACCCTCACGCCACCCATGGTGAAGGCGGAGAATTGGCATCCACAGACCCTGGACTTGGGATCAGGAGACACAACCTCTGGCTTGTTAGAAATGAACCAAATACAATCACCAACGATATGTCTGGCAGAAAGACCAAAGCACAAGGCAAAGAAATATGGGCAGAATAGCTAGAAAGAAACAGCTGCCGAAACTCGAGCCTAACATAATGCCAAAAAAAACAGACGTCGCATAAATTGAACTAATCACTGTTTCTTTTTCTATTGTTTACGTCTACAATTCAAATGTTGTATAAATCGAAAAAAATATCGATATAGTTAAAAATTCGATAATACATTCGTAATATAAAAATTGAAAGGTCTTTAATTCAATGTCGCAATAAATACCCTAAAACCGAAATTCCGCTATTAATACGAAAGAAAATTTCGACGATAATCGAAACAAAAATTATTTTACAAAATTAATATATATTTTTTCCAAAAGTATATTATATTATATATCATAAAATATCAATCGATAAAAAGAAAAAAATATTTTCAAAACATATAAATTTATTCCCCAATAACCATGCTGTGGGATCTTGCAAATTAATAGGTGGACGGGCGCCGTCGGGTTACCATCAGAGCTAGTAGGCGGATAGTGTCCCCGATCATGCTTTAATGGCGTCCTGATCATATTTTAATCCAATCATGTTATAATAGTGTCCCGATTATGTTTTAGTAGTGTCCCGGTCATATTTGATAATGTCCCGATTATATTACTTGAGAGGAGGGAGACACGAAAGGTAGGACAGCGGGAAGAGAAAAAAACGCGAGAGGGAGGAACAAAATACAATGTTCGACATAATGATTTATTCCCACGGAGGCGACCTTTCGTAAATATATATTCATATGCATTCTTAATATTCAAATATATAGTTCCGAAATATTCAAAAAGATTCTTAAAAAAACAAACTTGCCCCATGACTCAAATCATCGATAAACATTAAATCGGAACATCATAGGATTTAAACTATCCTAAATTCATAAGAGGCTCACGAAAACGCTCCCCAAGAGAAAATTAATTTACTTCACAACACAAACTCTAAAATATTTTAGGTATATACCCCCTCGGGAAACACCTTTCGTAATTAAAACCTAATACTCATTCTTTCTAAATGTTCAAAAGGGTTTCAACTATCCTAAAATCATAAAAAACTTACAAAAATGTTCTCCAGCAGAGAATTAAATTAAAAAAACGGGGGAAAGCGGGAATCTATATTAAAAACTCAATTATTAAACCCGGACTCGCCGACACTTACTTCGCAAATAAAATTCAAAATATCCCCTAAAAGGCTACCTTTCGTAATAATAATATCCCAAACATATTTTAAAAATATCTAATTATATTACAATAATATTCCGTTCATATTATAATAATATTATATCCCGATTATATAATAATAGTATCCAAAAAAAATAATCGATAAAAAAAAAATAAATATTATTTCTAAATTTTTCTTTTTTTTTCCGATTAAAATCTTATAATTAGGTTTCCAATTAAGCTAATTTATGTAATATTATCATTATATTCCAATATAATATAAATATATATATATATAACAATATTAAAAAGATAGAAATAATACTTAATGTATTTTTAATATAATATACATATAAATTTCAAATAAAAACATTATTTTTCATTTCTCATAAATTACGATCCTCGTAATTATTTGGATACATTTTCCAATTGAGTCCAAGTCATACTTTTTGTTCGAGCGATCCTACATCGAACACTTGAAAAATGATTTGTTTTGTAAAGCGATATGGTGCAACGCCTACTTACGTCGGTGATGTCGCTATGCCATGCTGTTTTGCGCAGGCTCGGTGGAAAGTCGTTTGCGCGGCTCCGTACCGTCGGGGAACGGGAATGTACGTAAATAAACGCTATGTGTTGCAGGCAAGCGGGATGGTGGTTTCTCAGGAGATTGTCCCAGAGCGCCCTGGAATGTTCCAAAACAGGGGCCCCATCTTGCAAGCAAGAATGCAGGTGTCCCACAAGAATGCCCTGTACATGAGTGCCCCACAGGTATATCTTGAGATTCTCACATCCACATTATCTTGGCATCATCACCATTGTGCATCATCACCATCATCATCGTTACCTTGTGCCATCTCCTACTGTGCTTTATTCTATTTATTTTTTTTAATCATCCAACGTTGTTGACAGCTCCAGGTCGCATTGGCCTTTCAAGATTTCACGAGTTTTCGCGCTGTTACAGGCACTTTTGGGCATACGATTCTGCCGGTGGAATTTGAACAACATATGCAAGAAGGATATATCATAAGCGAATACACCAATGTGGAATACAGGCTAGCTGCAAGACCGAAAGTCTGCAAACAATTGAAGGAAAAGCGTTGTGGGGCGCCGCAAATATGATCCTTCCACCACCGCAAAACAAACTGCCGGCAAGCTTGTTGCGGCCTGCTGAAGTTTCGAGTGCAGGCGGCTGAAGGCACCCCTGGTGAAGCACTGTGGCTGTGCAAATCACACAAAGAGTGCTGGCGTGAGTTTTCCAAGTTCTATGATGAGCAATGAAATCTGGTAGTCAGTATGCAAGTGCAATGAAACCAAGACGTCACAGCATTGATATCTGAAGGTCAGGAGTATCAACATTGACAGGGCAAAAAGCACCGACCTCGAATTGCTCATCGTCCCTGGCCACTTTGTGGTGCCAACAGGAACAATAAAAAATGACGCAGACCGTGGAACCACGTGGTTACAAGAACATGTCAGCATCACAAATCACTTCGGCTGCTTGGCCCAAGAACCTGGCATGGCCGGAAGCTGAACCTGCCTTCTGCTGAGCCACTTGATGCGTTCAGTGATGCTTCAGGGCAAGTTTGAATTGATTGAATGCGAGCTTCTCAACAAATGTTCAAGGCTAGTTTCGGGCAGGGCTATTCATTCTGTCTCTCAAGTTCTTGGGACAATTCCTCGAGAAGTAGCTTGTCGTCATTCCTTTGGACTGCTAGAATCTACTGAGCTACTGATCAGAGTTCTACTTGGGGCTGCCTGGGCCCTGGATAAAAAGCAGGATTGATCCACTTCCACACATTACAGCTGCGTCCAAGAGGCTCTAAATCGCTTGGCTCGCCTGAGTAATTTGACAATTTCAAAGGATGCAAAACACATCAAGACCCCTGTGCCATGTGATTGAAATCGTCACCAAAAGTTGAAAAACGCTCTTGAACACAACGCCGTTCATTGGATGCAATGAAGACCCACCTTCTCGGCATAGCAAGGTCAACAAGGCCCGGCCTTTGGCGGCGACAGTCCGATGACATCGGCTCCAACTCATCCGAACACTCTCATCTCCATTTTCATTTCGGAGTCCTTGGGGGGAACATCAGGAGGGCCTGAAAAAGTGTTGGGAATGGCCCCAATGGCCTTCAACCTCACTTCGAGGAGAAAGTGGCAAACAAACTGCTGCTTGGAGTGTTGACAGCGAAGCACCTCTCAAAGGTGGCAGCAGCCCAAAGACTTCATCTGGATGGCCGCCTGCACTTCCAATTTCGAGTTTGATTGGCTGACTTGTGAAGGACTCAGATTTCACCAGGCCAAACATACTGACTTTGCGGTGCTCGCAGAGGTGTTGTTGGACGACGCCGAGTCTGAGCCGGGCCTTGGATGCACGCGCGTGCCACTGTGAGGTGGTTGACTACATCGGGTGGAACCTGCGAGCTGCGAACTGGTCTGGTCTGGTCTGGATGCCAGTGTGCCAAAGCTTGCCAAAGTGCGCCAAGAATTGGAAAGCTGGATACTCCCGAACGCAGTCTGGACTCGTGGCAAATGAGGAAGCACATTTTGATCAATCTTTGGCATTCTTTGGACCGCCCTTGGCATCCAACACTTCAATGTGCTGCAATCTAGGATTGATAGTTCTCTGGAGGATGAACTCTGATTACATTTGAAGCAAGTGCCCCACAAACAAGCGCTATCCGAGCTGATGGTTTCGCGCCTGCATTGTCCAAAGCAACTGAAGCGCCTGGCAAGTCAGCAAATGCTCTGATTTACTGTACAAATATCTGCGAACCGTGTACTACCTCTTCACCACCAGAAAAAACAATTGCCGCAACCCCATTGATCACTGGAATCCGGGCTTGGGTGGGGAGTGGGAGAGCCCGACAATCTTTCTAGAATGAAATTGTGGTTTCTTTCGGCAAGTCCATTAAATTTCACTGACCACTGACCACCTCTGACAGCCCTTTTTGTTTGTAGCTTGGTCGGGTTGTGGTCCTGGATACAAAATCTTCCAAAATGCCTTTGGGAAAACAAATGAAAACAGTCATGGTGGAAATTCCCATCATTCCCACGTCCCATCACATCCAAGGCTACCTGAATGGTGTAAAGTCCATAGTGCCCTCTGTCGGTGGGCCAAGGGACTTTGATGCATGCTTTTCTAGTATTTGAGCGCCATCGCTCAGCCTGTTATGTACAAACTTCTAAAACACGACGTGGCGGTCAAATTCAACATCCAAATCGCTGTTTGAAGTTCTTTGTGAGCTCTAGTCAACTTCGCAAACGAACTTCAAACAAGAAACATGTTTCAACCGGATATTCTTCGGTCTTGCGTCCAGCCATCACATCTGCCTGCCTCTTGCCAGCGTGCAGCTGAGGCCAAACAGCTTTGCACCGCGTGCCAAGCCTCGTTGATGTGAACAAGCAAAGCAGCTTGAGGTCGGCTTGAAGAGCTTGGGAGGCAAAAAGCTTGCAATGCCTGCATTCTATGATCCATAAGGTTTGGTCTCAAGTTTGTTAAACCCACCTTGCACACGGCAAGTCTTGAGCTGCCCTGATTACCTGGAAGCCTTCACTCAGGGCACTCCCAACAAACTGCTTGAGAGGGTCGTCGAGCTGTAAACACTCTTTGGAAGTAGTTTGTTGCCAGCCCTCACTAGTTGCAAAAGCCAGGCATAGCATTTTGCAATGACCGGAAGGAGAGCTTCCAGCAGTTGAAAGCCTTCGGCTAGGGTCAACCTCCACCATGCAGTTCTTCCACTTGTGTTGGCCGTGCCCCAGAAACTCGTCAGAAATCAAATCGCTAACATCGTAAAACAATACAGCATAACGCATGCACCAAATTTCGATTGAAACCAATCATCTTTCAGTGCACCGACCTTTGAATTCCTTCCTTCCGCCTGGGCCCCAGCCGGTCGGCCGACATAAACTTCACATCCCATCCTTGGCGTTGCAAATTTTAGTTTGTGCTTTTTCACAAAAAGAAGAAGCAACGATTGAAGCTTTGGAAGGAACGATTTCTGAGCTTTGGACTCCTTCCAGTGATGCAGCGCATGCCTCTGAGAAGAGCTGGTGTCATTCCCCATTGCTGCATTCGGAAGACCATCCTTCCTCAGGCCTATGCACAACAGTCTCTCAACCTACCAACTACAAGGTTCCTGTGGTTCCTATGCCACACTATGTGGCTTCTTGGGTGGAGGGAGGTGGACGACGTACGTACCTTGAGAAACAGCGGTCAAAGCGGTCACCCGGCCTCCACTGAGTCGAGGAAGCACACGCCACCAAGACCGCACAAAAGGCCTGACAGTTTACGGCTAAAGAGGTGATGCTTCAGAATTTCCACTAACAATCCGAGAGCTACATGGCCATTGAGCCTCGTACACCTCGGTGGTTCTGGACAAAGACTTGCTGAGAACACCAACAGCAACTCTCATAAGCAGGTCTCGTAGGCAACAACAAACAGCCCTTCTGAGTTGAATTTCCTGTGAACTGCACTGCGCAGTTCCGGTGTAGCAGTTCTCCGGTCCATCCGATAGGTCCGATAGGGCGACAAAGAAAACCTGGACCTCGGCGTTCCTGTAGCCTTCAAAGGTGGCGAATGTCTGCAGGACCTGCAGAAGAGCGAGAAAAAGAAAACAAAAGGCCAGAAGGAGCCAAACATACAAGGGTTCTCCCAGTTTGAGATTCAGGATTCTATTGAAAAGCATCTGATGTGCTGCGTTCGTGACCTTTCAATGAGCCATGGGATTTTCGGAGAGCAGGCTCATGCTTAGGTGAGTTTCCCATGCCCAGCCCATATGAACTGGCAGTCCCTGAACCGTCTTCGTTCCTTTCTTTTGAAATGAAGTGATGAGGCTGCCACTCTACTGCACAGTGCTACTGCACAGCACAGTTCTTTCTATGGCATTTTCATGACTCCTTTCTAACGTCTCTGAGTAGCAAATGCTGGAAAAGGGCAGACTCAAATGGATCAACTTGCGAGAACGAGATGAACCAAAGACATCACCTCCCTAAGACAAGGATGCAAACAACATCCGTCAAAAAGCATGTCCACTGCATAGGAGACACAGCAATTGAAACAAAAAGCATACAGGACCATCTTTGTGACCAAAAGAAAGTGATGTGGGCCGAAAGCAAACTCCGTTAAAGCATCGAAACGGCATTTTCTCGGAGTACTCTCATACGTACGACTCTATCTATCTATCTATTTCCTATGCATGTCTGGCGCTTGTTTGAACCGGTCATTTGCCGGACATCCTCTTGCCCCTCAAGCTCCCACTCACACGCCTGTTCCCAGGCACTGCCAGCAGCCATGCTATGCAAAAAGACATGCAGCACAGCAGTGTTGGTGGCGTTGGACCTGGAAAATCTGCAGCTCCCGCAGATTGCGGGAGCCAAGAGATGCTAAAGGTCGTGTTTTGGTGCTACTTGTGACTCTATGCCTTGAGGTATATTTCCACCAAACCCATTGCCTCTGTGAAGTCGGGAAGTGAGCATGCAAAATCCCCGGTGAGGGTCAAATTTTGATCTAGTGGTGTTTGTTGTATGCTACACCACTAGAGGAAAACCAGCCGGGCTTTCAGCTCTCCGCTGGCCTCTCCATGAGGTGAAAAGCCAGCAGCCACTGGCGCCTCAAGTGTCACACGTGTGCCACTGGCCGTGTGAGCCAAGGTTGGGGAGCAGCATCCACCAGTCCTTTCTAGTCTGGGTGCAAAAACCGGGAGGCGAAAACCCCTGGTGCCCATGAGCCTTTCACAATCGCTATGTAAAAAGGGTCTAATGTCGCCGCGGCTTGTTTCAACGGTCCCTTCACATTCGGGCCATGCTGCGGTGCATAGAGCTGCTTTGGCTTTGTCATGCATGGAGAGAGGCTTGGAGATGGAGAAGAACATATGGTTGAAAAAGGCACCAAACTTTTCGTCGACTCTCTGATTCTCCGATGTTCCATGTGCCTCCCATACCACAGGACGCATTCGGCAGTTTCTCGTGTCAAAACCCATAAGTTTCTTGAAGTGGACCGAAGGCGTGTTTCACTACCAGTGACCGTCGAGCCCCAGTGTTCTACACCGTGCTGCTTACCTCAGTGCCCCACCCGCGGGTGCAGGCATCCATGCACCTGAGCCGAGACTGAAAGCAACAAAGAAGTGGGGGTACGGTACCAGAAACCAAAAGGTTGGGACCGTACTCATGGCGTTCAAGAAACAATATCCGCTCCCAGACCTGCTTTGGAACCCCTACTTGCCCAGTGGCCATTGCCTAGTGGCTACTTAAAGGAAGTCTGATCCAGCACATTCCAGAAACTTGCCCCAATGTCTCCCGCTCAAAATGTTTTGCCTTGCTTCGACTTGACACAAAACACATGAGCTGTCTCTGTGGCTTTCTCTACAGCCACAACCAAAGAACGGTCTTACTTCAATCGCCAAGATTCCGAGTCCGAATATGCAAAGAAACCAAGCTTCGAAGGCCAACGTTCCGGGGGGTTCTTGGAACGACGACTCGAACCACCAAGGCCAGGGTGTCCAGTCTCGCTCATCTCAAGGCCCAAACGAAGCGATGGTCACAGCGTTGGGCCTCAGGCTCATCGAGGCGTCGAAGACTCTGGTCGACTTCGAAAACACGAAGCAGCCGAGTCCAAAGCACCGCCTTTCACGGGAATTTGAGAACTCCATGATAGATGGGAGGAGAAAGGTCTAGCTTGCAAGGGCTCGTGGGATTGAACCAAAGCAAAGCAGATTTTCCTGGTCCTGATCCCTACAAATCCTGGGTGGGCCCAAGCAAGACGAACGAAAGTATGAACTTGCGAGCAATGTTCTGCTACTTCACACCCTGAATCTCACCAAACACTCTCTATCAGCCCATTTATGAACTGCCACCCCAAATTGCGATCTGCACTTTTTCTTCCAAGGTGCTGTATTTCCTGGCTTTGCAGGCCCATCATCAAGCCTAAGGCTCGAGGCCACTGCGCTCCTCACACGAGAGAGGCTGAAAAGCACGTGACACACGACAAACAACACGAGAGACGACCTCCCAAAAGAATTGCCACGAAACAAGCACAATCCTTTTAAATTGAAATCCCCGAAAACAATTCTACCTCATTCAAAGCTGTTCTGAAAGCATTTCAAGTTCCAATCTTGCTCCCCAACCAAAGGCGAGTGCCCAAACATTCCCGCGAGGCAATAAATATCGGACAAAAGAATGGCCTCTTTAAATGCCAAGTCTTTGGACTCTGGACCCTTTACTCAAGAAACGCTGTTCGTCTTTGAAATCCTTGTTCTAAAATGCGTCACTATAGTGTGTTCCTTCTTCTCAACAGGACAAAACTTTATTTATGGAAAAAATATCAAAATGATCTATTTCATGGAAAGCGCTTTTGTTTGGATGCCCAAACCAATAGAGATCATTTTGTGATTCCATAAACAAAAGACTTCTAATGGTCCCCAAAGTTCCCTTCCAGCACGGGATATTTGGATTTCAATTTTCTTGACTTTGCACCCATCTTGCCATGTTCCACACTCGAACTCCCAAGCAACACCCGCGCTGGCCTTTGGCGCATGCGTTGATCGCTGTGGAAAAGGTAACCTCAGGCTCCACCGACTCCAGGGTTCTTTCCATGTTCTATGGAAACGAGCAAGCACTTCCAAGTGGACCTGACAACCTTTTGCATCCAAAACTCTCCACATGCGCAGGAACGCTATTGACTCCCAGCTGGCTTGACAAGGTGACTGGCCAAGCCTCTCTACTCCAAAGCACCGGGAACGCACGGTTGAAATGTTCAACAACCAATGAACACTTCCGGTATTTCAAAACCTTTGAACGAGCACATCTGGAAAAAGACACGTCCTCCAGTGAGATTTGGATCGGATATGCCCATGTCAAGCGCGAGACGGGAGGCGCACGGTTGTGGACGGGGCTGGGGAAGGAAGGGAGGGGCGCGAGACGGGAGGTGCATGGGTGTGGACGAGGCTGGGGAGGGAAGAGTTCAACAGCACTCAAAACCTTCAAACACATTGATGTCAAATCCGCCGGGAAAATGGGACTCACAAAGAATAGAACAAACAAGTGTCAGTTCCAAAAAGGATCCTTCGGTTGATCCGACATGATCCGTGCGACATGTGTTCTGCTTCACCGAGCGGCGACCGTCGGCTGCAAAGCTCTGCGCCGCAGGACCGCCAGGTGCCAAAGAGCCTTCGTCCACCTGGGTCGTGGCCGTCGGACGCCGTTGCGTCCATCCACTTCTGACTAGGTTGGAGGCCATTGCCAGTAGGTTGCGGGGCAAAGCGGCCCTTAAAAAACTAGTGCCACTCTCCCAGTGCCTCGTCTCTCGTCTGTTTCGCCCGGCGAGGTGCTGTTGCTCGCGCTCGCAGGAGCTCATGAGGGTGTTGTAGGAGACAATGTCCTGCCGAGCTCTTTGCAGCTTACGGGCCTACCGAAAGCCAAAAAGAAGGGGCACAAACTGGCACAAACTGTCCAGTGACATTCCTGTCCAGTGATGGTTTGAATCTGAATATGTACCAGAGGAGCATTTGAGCGTCAGATCCACTTCAAACACAGTCTCACCGCTTCAGCCCCGCTCCGGGCACCCACTCTGCGCCACGAAGCGCGCCAGCAGCGCGTCGCCGCGACGGGTGGAAGCTGCGCCACGCAGCGCGCCATTGAAGGCCTGGGACGGGCGGCTGCACCACAGGTGAATCGCGGCCGAGAACCACATGTTCCCCACTTCCACTGCACAACATCCCAACAACATGTCCAATTCATTTTAACACATCTTATCAAAAGACACCCAATGTGAACATGATGAACGGTTGACTCCATGCGCTGCATGGACTTGATGGTCTTGGGTGTTGTGATGGTCTTGGAGTCTGGTCACTGGTGCTTCTTGAGAACATTTCCTCTTCGACCCAGGGCACCAGCAGCACGTCCGCTTCCGTCTTCGTCTTCGACCAGAGCTGCGACAGGAGCCGCTCCGAGGCGCGACGCTGGTGCTTGCGCTCCTGAAGACTCGTGGAGGTGAACCGAAAGAAGAGGCTTCATTGGAGCACTGTGTGTTGAAAGTGCTCGTTGTTTGCACTCCACTGCACTGGGCGTCCCCCACGCAGGCCGCGGCGGCGGCGCCGTAGGCCCATCCGTCCAATGCCCAGCGGCGCCTTGCCGGAGTCGCATCGGGATCGGTGGTCCGGTGCGTCGTGGGCTTCGGCATACTGAGCGTCTTCCAGTGGGAAAAGACTTGTGAGCAGCGAAGATGATTTGTAGACTCAGTGGCATCTAATGGGGAAGAATGATAGACACATTTGTAGATGCCTGCAAATCTTCCTTAACTTGCTCACTTCCTTGGCCTGGCGCAGTCGTCCAGCAGCTGCAGTGCAGCTGCCCAGGCGCTGCCCCGCTCGAGCGCCGTGAGCAAAGCGCCCAAGAGGCCAACGTCGACCTACAGGGAGTGCGACGGAACCCCATTGAGGGGATTGAGCCGGAGATTCCGTCACAGGAAACTCGGTGGATTGGAATGGGTGGATGATGATGGATGAGGATGGACTTTGCAAATGACTTGGGGGTCAATTGAGTTTGCATGAGGATGGACCAATTTCCCATCTGGAAGGTGAAGAGAGTCTACTGTGTGCATAGATTAAGCAAAAGCTCGTTCTCTCATGATACGTTTCGATCTTTTCCGAATATCGAACCGGAACAACTCAGTTGAGCGATCTGTAAACCTTGACCGGTTTCGCCAGGTAGATGGGTGCAGCTTTGGTGTTCTTGTCAACTTCGTACATAGCTGAAACAAAATCAACAAGCAATGGAACAGATTTACTACGAGCTGGAACCCCGGAACCACACACCTGGCGGTTGCCCTTGTCACTGCCTCTGTGAGGCCCTTGAGCACGTGCAGCGCTTCGGGCCACTTCTTCGCCTCAAGTTCTTCGGGCTTTAGTCAAAACCATTCGTGAGCGAAACGCGCATCTAACATCATCCAATCATTCCGTCGACCTCTACAGGTGGTGCTTTTGTTCCTCCAAAGCAGCTCCTCTGGCTTCCCAGAGGGGGGTATTGCAAGACTGATGATCTGCAAGGGTGCTTGCATGTGATGCGAAGATGCGAAGGCAAGTGCAATTGTGAGTTGCACGCTGGAAAACCACATCACTTGCGATCTCCGGCTTCAACTTTCATTGAATAAACAAACAATTGCTCGATGTGCCGACCTTTTCATCGATTCGGCCAGGCACCTGCCCGAGGTGTGCAATCCGCCCGGCCGCGGCCTCGAGAAATGCCGCCGGCAATGGGAAGGTTCAGGGCCTTCCTACGGAGAGGTTCACCGGCCTCGCTCAAATCAATGAGCCAAACCTTCGTTGAAGCCGAACCCTTCAAGCCTCAAATGGATATAAGCCAGTCAAGAAGGTCAGATGTCTCAACGGAACGGCATTCGGACATCACCCCATGTGAGCCTCTTCCTTTTTGCCTTGGATTTTTTTCCAAGGCCCAAAACCAAAAGTTCGACGAAACATGTCAAAACCATCCTCCTCTCGCATGTGGTGATTGGTCAGGTTGATGTGATAGCATGTGTGCGGGTCAACTCTTAAAGCGACAAGTAACAAGAAGCTACTAGTAACAAGTGCATCGCTTCTAGTAACAAGTGCCTTACTAGTAGTAACAAGAAGCTATTAGAAACACGAGGTCAACTTCTCAAATGATCGACAAATGTTCACCGTCGGTGACCGGGCAACGAGTTCCCACTGAGCGGCTCGGAGCTGCCGGAAGTTCTTCCCCATGTACCATGGCGCACTTCTTTCTTGGACAATCCCGACAGCGATTCACATGGACATCAATGAACACCACGTGCAGGAGAAAATTCTGCTGGGATGGAAAACAACGAACACCACCTCCACAGTTGAGTGAAATGGAACAGGGCGACTACGAATGTGCTGCTGTGGATGATCATCCTACGTCGCATCAAAATGCTATGGACTATGGACCCTCCGATACATGTGTTTGAGCAAAGGGCTTTGCGTAATAGGTGGGGCTCTGTCCATCTTGATGACTGAAACATTTTGCCATCAGCAAAGAATGACTGACGCAGATTTTGGGGTTTCTAGAGGGGCAATCTCCATGAACACTGGCCCCCAAAACTTCAACCTTCAGGAGTTGAAGCAGAACACCATCAATTGCTACCTTCAAGAAGTGTTTTCAGCAAATCACGAGCACAGAACTAGTGGAAAGAGGTGGAAAGTAACACCGACAGGTGCGAGACCTACGGATGGCGGGACAAGGTTCGGTCGTGCTTTTCCTCTGCCAGTCAGGGGTGCCTGGTTTCAACACTCGAACACCGCCTTCTGGAAAAGCTGGCAAGGCAGTTGACCAAAAGGGAATCTTACCCGCAAACAAGGAAGACTTCAATGTTGATTTGAACCTTTGAAAGAGACTTCGACGAGAAGCCTTCGAGCAACGAAAAGTTCAAGTTGTGCGCAGGTCAAATGCTTTCGGCGCCCCTGTGTAACGCTGGTTACTGGTTGCGCTTTTTTGGTTTGCATTTCAGCTCGGCAAAGGGTCATTGTTAAAGGAACTCGTTCCTTTTTCGCGTGGTGGGCTCGCAGCAAAACTGGTCCGTCAAGAATGGCACCAAGACTTAGCCCGAGGAAGACTGACAAGGCAGAGGTGGCAAGGCAGCACGGCACGTGTAGGGTCAAGGTCTTCTGCAGCAAATAGCTCAAATAGCTGCTATTCGCCCAGTCAACTCTGCGACATGAAACATCAACACACAGCAGTCACACCAGCAGCAATGCTCAAAGACCCCACAAATTGACAGTAAGGAAGACACGCAATGCAGGAATTCGGGAACCCACTGCCTGCATTGCATGGGCACATACTAGAGAGACCCCTCCAGCCAAAGAAGGGAACCAGAAAATGGCAACACTTCTCGGAGTACTGTGCCAGGTACGAACATTGATATAGCTTTTGGTGGCTGATATGCCTTGGGGCAGTGGTTCTGGTATTGATCATCCCAGATCCCAATGGAAACACGTAGGGAGCCTGCTGGGGATTCCTGTGGTTTTGGTGTCCAACATGTGTCAAGGGCAATAGGGTGGGCTCCTAGAACTCCAACTCTTCGGACGCCAAGCTGTGCGGAATGCGAACGCTTGCTTCTCTTTTGAACGCTTGCTTGGGCTTGCTTTTCAGGGGTTGCACATATTTTGCGTTTCAGTGAGGATTCTCCAAAAAGCGAGCAATGTGCGAGAGATGTGCAACAAAGAGTCTGAGGGATGCAAAGCAATCCTGGCTGGAACGTGACATGGAGCCACCGGTCAGACCTGGAGTTGACGCTCATCCCACACAGAAAAAACACATCAATATTTTTTTTTGACCCTTCATCACCTCTTCATGATCCAAAGCACTAGATCATCCAGAAGAACCGTTGTATCAACCGTTGTTTCACCCATTCGAACTGCGAATGGATCAAACACATCCGAGCCTTTCCGATCAAGGGACTCACCTCTCGAAGCACCAAAGCAAACCACTGTATTCTGCTTTTGGCTCTAAGAGTCCAAAGCCCTAATTCCTGGTCGGTTGGCCTCCCTTGTAGTCTAGTCTGTTCAATTTTGCTGGTCAACCAAGGTCTGGTTTTGACCCCGAGCCACAAAAAACCGCGGAAGGGGACCCTCTGGTTTGAACCGGGATGCGGTGCGTGCGCTGCGCCCGGAGACGTGCCCTACCCCTTTTGTTCCGTCGCTTCATGCGTTGCGCCCACTGTCCATTGGAGTTCCACAGAGCTCTTTGTGTACCTTAAGCCGAGTGGTCAATGGATATGGCCCATGGCGAGAGTCCGCAGTGAACTTCCAAATAAACTATGGGGACAATCTGCTTTGGAACACATGGAAAGCTTTCTGCGGTGCTCCGGTAGTAGGAAGGTAGACCTTTGGGTGACAAGAGGTTTGAACATGTTTGAACAATTTCTTCTGATCAAAACATTGATCAATTCATCTGCATCAAAATGAAGGGGCCCACAAAAGCGATGCAATTCATTGGTCCTGCCGCTTTCCTCGGGCAGTTCTCTATGTCGAAACATACGGTGCGATCTTGAGGCTTGCCCGTTCAATGCTATGCACATCCTTCTGTGTAAACAAACAGGTTCACAAGGAGGTGGCCTTTTTCAGAGTCCAGTTCTTCCAATTAAACCTGAGCGACCCAGGTCAATTCAGGCGACTTCTGCTTTTCGGGATCCCCAAAAGAGCAATCGATGCGCCTTTTTGCTCCAAGAGGCAAGTAAACTCCAAAGCGCAAGGCAGTGCCGTTCTTTAGGATGTCCAGCGGCCTGGAGTGTGAAACTCTGCAATGTCGCAGGAAGTTCCTTCGTGTAGAGCATTGCAGATCTCGTTCAACTGGTCAACCCTTCATCTGATTCGATGCTTGTCTCGTGGTAGCATGGTGGTCTCCATCAGTTCATTCTTTTGGAGTCGCTTAGAGTTGAATGAAAGCAATTGGCCACTGCCTAGCATTGGCCGGTGTGACTATCGGACATCAAGCGCATCGCCGTCAGTAGTGAGCCACTTGTATAAATGGTGCTCTCCTCCCTTTGCAGCACTGAACCCCTTCACTTACCGAGAGCCTTTCTTTGGATTTGGGAACCAAATCTTTCCACTTCTGCACGGGCTCCTTTGATTGGCCGGAGCCTTTCAGAGGAGATATGGAACACAATATATATATATATAGTCAACGGAAAACTGCAAATTCTCTCCAATGCATGAGACATTTGGAAATGTGGCCCGTGGGGTCAAAGTACTCCCACACGCCCAACCCTGTTATTGCCAATGCATCTGGCAAACAGCAAGCGACACGAATGCAACACGCACTGGCTGATCTTTTTGGTTTGTACTGCCAGTAACTGTCCCAAAACAGGCAAAAATGGTTGTGGCAACCTGCAAGACATGCTGGGCGAGTTCCGCCACAACCTGGTGATGCGTGCCGATGCCCTTTCCAGCGCGCGAACCACGCAAGGGGCTGAGCAACTGAGACGCCGTTCAATGGACATCCTGGTCATTGGTCTGACAACATGAAGAAAGGAACCCACTAAACCCGAACAAAAATCAACAACGGCTGAAGCGACACTAATGTACATTCCGTCGATTCCTCGAACCCAAAACCTGGCCGAGCGGCTTTGCCACAGGCGACACATCAGGTCGGCTGATCTGGAACTCCTCCTGAAAAAGCCACGTGGCGACCGCCGTGGTTCGTGCATCCTGTTTTCGTGAAGTTGCTGGGAAGATCACCGTGCGAAAAAAACACCATTTTTGTAACATACACCTTGTGACATGTCATACATCCATACATCCGCGCATACGTTCCCCCACCCACACACACTACACAACCCATACCTGCAATAGCATTAAACAAAGGCATAACAACAGAACAAATGCAAACGGTGCTTTCTTGTTGTGCTACGTGTGCTACGCACCTAGCCGGCGTAGTTTTGGCCTAACAAATATCCTTTGGGACTTTAGCTTCGAACTCGTTCCTATCCCACTGCCGCTTTTGGGGTTTATGGTGACCGTCCATAACCACCCATCATCTAGACCTCGCCCATGCCGCGTGCTTTGTGTGACATATCCACGTCCTGGCTGATGTTCACCAGGAACTCCTCAGGCTGGTTTGCTTCAATGGCCACCACCTCCGTGCCACACCGCACCTCAGCTGCAAAGCATGCCATCATGCACAGGTGCTCTTGAAAAGTATCAAAGAGGTCAAAGAAGTGGTTTTTGGGTTGGAGGCCATTGCTCTCAGGTTCCTTAAAGTCTTTTCTTCCTTAAAGGTCGAAGTGAGAGTGGTGTGCATCGGGACCGAAGTGCTCCATTCCGGGGCACGGCAGTTCGTTGAGTAGATGCCTGAGTATAACAAACGCCCCTTTCTCGGCCACCTCTTTCTCAAAAAAACACCGGTGCACTTTCAATCCCCTGTTGGGGGTGCAGGTTTAGGGAAGATTCATCGAACACGTTCACCATCTTCAAACACACGTGACGTTGACCATCCACACGTCGTTCCCTGCTGGGAGTTGTTTTCTTTTTCGGAGATGCCCTTGTTACTTTCCGTCTGGACGGTACCAAATCGTAAGACCTCGCGTGGCCACTGTGGCCGCGGCCCCTAACCCGAAGCGCCGCTGAGGTGCGTAGAGGAAGTGGGCGTAGCCACCGCCTCGGGCCGAACTCCGGGGCTATGCCATTATGGAAATGGTTGGAACTTGGAACAATAGGGATGAGCCAATGGGGATGAAAAGGGATCAAAAAGCCCTTAGATGATGCTGGATTGCGCTCCACTCAAAGAACACGTGCCCATCCCAACCAAATCAAAGCCCCCGGACGTCCACCTCCACGCACCCAAAAAGGGAGGAGGGGAGGGGAAGGTCCCGTTACGTCGTGTATGTCGGGTGGCAGGCGGCCAGGTGTCGGAGGTGAGTCACGGGGTCTATGTCTCGGGCGGAGGGGTCTTCCACGCTTGTTCCTGGGTTCACCATCCTTGTGGCCTCCATTGGCTACCACCGGGGATCTCCATAGAAAAACCCGGCAACATTCGTCCGCAAACCGGAGGGGATTCACCTCCTTCAGGTCAGGTGTCATAGCCAACCCACCCATCCGGTGGCACTTCGTCGAGCCGCTGTCGGGCATCTTCACGCTAAAGCTCACAGGCAGATCTTCGGGTCGAAAGCTTTGAGACAGCTCCGCGCGGTTGTCTTCCTGCCGGAGAAGCGAAAGCCCCTCTCACTTGGTCCATGCCACCGGTAGAGGGGAGAAACCTTCAACACCGGTAGAGTCGACTCCGGTAAAAATGGCTCAAGATGTTGGAATTTGGGAACGCAGGGATCACTTTGGTGTGCTGGGGCCTTTGGGTGACCCGTCAACGGCTCATCCCGGTTGTTCTTGAAAACCAACCCTTCGAGCGAACAAGCTTGGACGAAAACCGACTTCGTTCTGATCATTCTATGCTTTTGATGCGTTTGATGGAACGTCGCCTGGACTGCTTGATCAACATTTGATCAAATGCCTGTCCTGTTGAGGGTTGGTGGCCAAGGTCCCTTCACAGGAGACGTCCATGTAGCGATTGCACCTTAGACGAACAGCGAGCGACTTGAAAATGGTTGTTTGCTTGCAGTCCCCTTTTCCAACAAACATCTCCCCCTTGACGTAAGAACATGCACTGAGGATCTGGGAGAATCTGTAGCGCTCAAAGGCATTCGACTAGCTTGGGCTAGAGTGCAGTTGAGTTGCATAGCTGGCTGTGACAAATCGTTGGGAAATGAATGGAACTACTTTCTACCAAGTTCGGCAGCTTCCACAATGTCAAAATTCCAATGGCTTCCCACACCGAGCAGCTCTTGCCTCCCAACAACCAGTTTCGCCCTCCACTAAACCAAGTCAAACCATGGTACCTAGCCAGTGCAGCCGATGGCACATGGAACCAAAGCCCTGGATGGTCACCGTGCTGAAGTCCTCTGGCGGTGTGTCTCCGAAGCGCAAGTTCTTCACCACCAACCCCGTCAGGAACCGGTCCGGCACGTCCTCCCAGGGTCGACGCATGGCACGAGTGACGACGTGGGACGGCAGTGGAGCAGTGGTAGGTGACGTCACGAATGGGCGACTCTGGGGGGGCAGGTTTCCATAGGCCTTTTAGTTCTTCTTGAAACGTGTGCAAACCTGTGCAAGAACAATCTGTTGGCGTTGCTCAGCAGGATTAACAATTGTGGTCTGATACCACTTGACCGTTGGCATCATCAAGTGGGCCTAAGGTGGAAACTCTGTACCGATCCTAATGCAGAGCTCGATCCCAAAAATTCATCCCAATCCGAGTGGCAGAGGTCTCGAAGTCTTGTGACAAAGTAGGAACATTTCTTGCTTCATGGGTTCGCATAGAAAAATTGTCGCCGTTGGATGGCAGGGGATTCTTAGTTTTTGCGGTCTAAAGATTGGAACACGCCCAACTCCACAACTCTCCTTCACAGGCCAGTGGTCCAGGATGGGGCTCATGCTGCTGTTGAAGAGCCAGCAGGCCTCGCAGAATTCCGCGCTACCAGGCTGGGCAAGATTCAGCCGCATGGGGGATTTTGTATGGGCCTTATTTTTTGTTGCTGGCGGTATTCGTTGTACCCTCTGAATGCCCCGTATGGGTGTTGATTCCACAAATCAATGAGTCGAGGTGAATAAAAATCAATTCCACACGAGCCGAGTTTAACATTGTAGGTATGTCCCTTGTCCATCCCACTCTAGAGCTGGAGGTAAGTCTGCAGTCACGCACTGGCATGAACTTTTGAAACCCTATTTGACCTCGAACTGCTTGAGGACTTGAAGTAGACCAATTGTAAGTCTTTTGGACTCCATGTGTGATGTTTGCACTCCAAGGTGTTTCTACACGTTCTTTCACTATGTTTTGCCCAATCAGGCTGATTTGCCCTGGTTCTTGGTGCAGCCGCAGTTGGCTGTACGTTCTTTTGTCTTCAATGAACGTGTGTGTATGTCTGTATAACTCTAAACTTCCAAAGCGCGGACGTTCGCGGAGCCCTGGTATGTAACACCAGGCCTTGTGGGCACCGCCAATCAGCCCGCTCCCCCACGACATGCTGCGTTTACACCAGCGTGCTTCCCTTCCCCCAATGGCACGGACTCACACAAACGCACTTTCCACCGAGGCCCGCAAAACCGCATGTCACAGCGACATCACAGATGTAATTTGGCCACTTCGTAACTCCCAGAAGCTGCTTCCCATACTAACTTGTACTACAAAGTTGCCAGTTCTGACAGCTCACAGAAGCTGGTTCCATTATTTGTACTTCCCAGTGGCCAGTTCTCAGTAGAAGCCGCTTCCGTTACTAGTACATTTGCAGTGCCAAGTGGCCAGTTCTCAGTAGAAGCTGCTTCCCCTACTCTCATGTGTACTACCAAGCGGCCAGCCAGTTCTGAAGCCAAACCTGCCAGAAGCAAAAGTCTTGAAACAATGATGTTTCGTACGAGACTTTCAAGGGGCAATGCGTTGGCTAACGGTCAACATTCATCGTGGGTAGCCAAGCTCACCGTGGACAAGCCCGTCGGTTCCTGTCAAGTCTCCACGAGACTTCCTCCAAAGGTCAACCGTCACGCCGTCAAGTCTCCAAAACGAGCGTGTCGTACGAGACTGCCTCCAAAAGTCACATGTCAAGTCTCCGCCAGTGAAGCGGGAAGTCTCCCACTTGCGAACGCATCCATAGCAGCCGTGCCAAGCAGTTGGCAGTCCCAGTCCGTCAAAGACACGCTCGCTGATGCACCAATCCCACTGCCACAGCGACATTCACCCCCGCCCAACTTTTTCCTTGCGCCTGCCAAAAAATTCAACTTCGACACCTCCAGCACGCACAAAGCACTGTGCCTGCCACAAAAAGTGACAACATGACATTTCAGGTCTCCAATCCGCCGGCCTGCCGGCGTGTTTTGTGGATTGTTTTGGTTAGTATTGCTTGTGTTGGTTTCAATCTACGGTTTGTCTCTCCGCGCGGATTTTTCGACAGCCTGACGCCCCCGCCCCCCCCCCTGTAGGTAGTGGTGGTGGTAGTAGTAGTAGCAGCAGTAGTAGTAGGTAGTTAGTAGGTAGTAGGTAGTACGTAGTAGGTAGTAGGTTGGACTGTAGGTACTGGTGGTGGTAGTAGTAGTAGCAGTAGTAGGTAGTAGGTAGTAGGTCGCTGGATCAGAATAGACAACCATTGGACTGAGACATGTCGATCGCTGGATCAGAATAGACAACCTCTGATTCGGATTCGTTCCATTTCATTGCAAAACGACTTCGCTTGAAATCAACAGCAACAAACTCTCCCAGCAAAATGTGCAACTCCAATGCACCCACAAGTCTGATTGAGCAGGGTATTGTTGTTCGATGTCATTCTGGGTCTTTCATTTCAACCGGTTTGGAGAAAAAAACGACAAATCATGCCAGATCTAGAAATTCTTCGGTCGCTTTGAAGCCTTCTGTGTGTGAAAAAGAGTATCTGGTGCGTGTCGCAATCCCTCGAGACGGTCGAAAAAAAGATCTGCAAAGGAAAACATGCACACGGCCAAGTAGTTTGGAAGAAGAATCGTTTTCAAGGTCATGTTTTGTGGATAGTCTTGGTTCGCATTGCTTGTGTTGGTTTCACTTGGTTCCTCTTAGGTGATTCGACTGAGACATGCCGGTTCGGATCGCTGGATCAGAATAGACAACCTCTGATTTGGATTCGTTCCATTTCATGGTCAAACAACCTTGAAATAAACATCAACAAACTCACCCAGCCAAATGTGCACCTCCAATGCACCAACAAGTATGATTGAGCAGGGTATTGTATCATTAAGCTGCCTGCCAATGCGGGCTCGAGCTGGTGGCCGGCGGCATGCCGAAGGCTGTAAATAAAATTTGCACCACACTACATGTTTGGAACGATCACGACACTTTCTGAGCACACTCACATCCACCAAACTCGCATCTTTAGCTGAGACTTGTCACGAAAACACAACTTCGAAGCAACACCCTGAAACGCCAAATCCCACTGTCGCACTGTCACGCGACAAACCTCAAACATACCACCCTCTAGACGCCAATCCCACTGTCACAGCGAAGGAAACTGCCGATCTCACAAACGCTGCACCTGTGCAGCAAAATCATCCTCCACAGTAGATGTCGCAAAGCGCAACATAAGTATACAATAAGTACGCTATTTGCAACGAATCCTACCTCGGGCACATCCTCTAGAGCTGCCCCTGAGGCGTTCCCCCTGTGAGGGAATTAACAACCCGACGACAATGACGACACCACGACGACACACACGACAAACACGATGCGAACATAGGTCCAGCCCCCAGACCCCCAGCATCCCCGCTGGCCCCGGGAACCCTTCGCTACGCATTCGGGAAAAGGACTGGAAGATTGAAGACTCCTTGAAGACACCATCCCTTTTACAAAAACCGACGACCGTAGACACTTTCCCGTCGACGCATCCTCCCCCTGCACGCGGCCTGGGAGGAGGGCAGCTTCAGCTGTCCTTCCACCCGCCGCCGCAGCTCCAACACCGACTCCGTCGCATTGCTACACCGGACCTCCTCAGACACCGGGGTGCGTGGGCGGGGAGAGGCGACACAGGCGGCGCAGGTCGGGGTTGGGAGGAGCGATCTCCGAGATGCACAGGAGGTTTCCGCACCCCAAAGCGCCCCCCCAAATCGAGCCAAGGCCATCCACACGTCGAATCCTCCCAAACAGTGGAGAGGCTTGGCTTCTTTCTCCATCGGAAAAGCCCCACCGAGCCCGGCTCGAACGACGCGTCCTCGGTGGGTCACCGGTCACCGGGCCGACCGATCGAAATTCGAGGCCGGGCGTCGAGCACCGAGCCCGACAACATGCAGACGGAGAAAGCGACCTCCTCCTCGGCCTGGCGAACTGTGGGAGAACAGAGTATGTGGATGGAAGATCTGGACCCCAGATAGGCGGTTGGTTGAAAAGAGTACCTGGATCATCTGGGCCCCAAATCGCGGAAACACAGAGTCTCAGGTGAAAGCTTTGCAGAAAGCTACCGGACTTGGCGAAGTGGTGCTTGTGGAAGCTAACACAGAAGACGACTAAGTGCGCCAAGCGGTTCAGACTTTCGTTGGGTGACGAAGAATCACTGCGCTTTGCCCCATGGAGAACAAAGCAAAGCATGGACAATTCTACAAGCCAGAAAGGCCCTGTTCTAGATTCGATTCCTCGGTGCTTCGCAGTTGAAGTTCAGGGACCTTCGCCGGGAAGAGGCACAATGCTTCATGTGCAGAGGATGTTCATGCCGTGGACCAAGTGGACCAATGGGACCCAACACCTTCATCATCTGCTCGCTGCCCACCTTGGCCTCGCTCCTCTTCTCGCTCTCCTGGAGCCACGACGACTGTGGACGAATCGAGCCGTGGACGAGTCGTTTTTGGGGGGGGTTCGGTGTGAGCACGGTCTCGATCTCAGGGGGGGTGGCAGGATTTCTTCTCTCAACAGCCAGTGTCTGGCCTGTCACCGCGGGTGTGGTAAGGTAAGAAGAACAAGAACATGACTGAACAAATGACTACCAATCACAAGAGACACTCATTTACAGTGTGTTCCGTCCTCTCGGACTCCGGATCTCAAGCTGAACGGCTCCCGGTTCAGGACCACTCCCGGTTCACTCCGCAGGTGGGAACCCCAACACGTGGAGAGACCGGGGAAACCACTCCCAGCTCTCCGTCCTCCACAGCGCTCTCTGGCTGTGGTTCCTGAGGTCCGAAGGAACTGGAACCCACTCATCGGAACTTCATCGGCGCAGTGGGATATTTGGATCGAAATTCCGTTTTAAAGCATTTTTACAGCACTTGGTCTTGGTCAGCAGCATTCCACAGAATGATAATTTGAGAAATGGACAGGTGTTTCTTCCACCACACCACTGAACCATTATCGAAGAATCAAATGCAACCAGTTTGCGCCACTCAATGTCGGTGACTCTGGATGAACATCTTTTGTTGAGAACACCTGAGAACATATGCCAGCCGAGAGAAAGTTCGAAACACTCTGAGTTCACAGTACCTTGCAGGGAAGGAAGGCTACAAGAACATCTGTCTGCAATTCTTTGGAACAACCTCCCCCACAGCCTTCAGCCACGGACTTCCCGCAGAATCGCCCGCGTCCCACCGGTCCCAGTCCAGGGCTCTGCTCCGACGAAACCACGCAGGAAGCCCTTCATGGCACAGCAAAGGTGCGGCTCCAAGGTCTCTGGTCCAAGCTTTGCTTCCTTTTTTCCCCAAACAAAGACCGGTCTGGACACATTGAACGGGGTTCCGAAACGGTAGGTGTTCACACAGCAGTTTCGGTCGTGCTGTGACCGGGAGTGGCTTAGCTGGGTTTGGGTCTGGCCGTGGCTTCCCATGGCACCATGAGGGGGGTTGGTTCTTGGGTGCCCTACGAAGTTGAGCCTTGTTTCAGCCCGAGTTCCGCCATGGGATCTGCTTCATCAGATCCAATCTGTTTTGACTCACAAACTCTGTCAGCCGGGACAAACGGTCGTTTCACTCGTCAAACTACAAAGCCCAGAGGACAACGACTGGACGTCGGGCTGGCTGCACAGGTGAAAAAAATCCAGCGAGTGCATCTTCCAGGGGTCTGATGCTTTCATCTTCCCCCGATTTTATCCATCATTTTCATCCCTTTCACTTGGGGAATGGCACACAGTTTTTGGCACCAGCTCTCGCGACCGAAAGCTAGCCCTCACAACGTAGTGAACCAGGTTCTTCGTGAGGATGATACTGTATGAGGCTTAGAAAAAGGATGAAGAATGCACATCTTCAATTGCATACCACCAGGGAGGATCAATCCACCAATGAGAAGGAAAGCCAGATGAATGCGTTCCATGGGTGATGTGACGCTGTCAAAGGATGTATTGGAACAAAGACGAAGGCGAGAACTAGAAGGATGAGAATGTGTATGGAGTTAACACGATGCGGGATCACATGAAGGCTTTCCAATGGACATTTGAGGAAGCGTGTTGATAGATGGACATGGAAAAGTCGAAGGATGAAAACAAAGACTGGAAAGAGGATGCTGCAAATGTGGAGGAGAAGGCGGGAAAATAGAGGGAGGATGAGAATGTGGAGGAGAATTACTGAATTCAAAGACGGGTGTGGAGGAAGCAATGCAATAATGAACATATAGAATGGAAGGAACATGAACATGGAAATGCTCTTTCAGGAGGATACAGCGGGATTCTCACCCTCTTTAAGGGGAAGAGGACCAGTAGGATTCGATGCTATTTGAAGGGCCCCAATGAATAGAACCAAAACTGGAGTTGGGAAAGCTGCTGTAGATCCTTTCGCAATTCTGGCATTCGACATAAGGATGGACGTCCCTTCTGGCGTGATGAATCCAAATTTCAGATCAACCAGCAACTTGTGACAAGTGAGGGATCAGGATTGGAACAACCACCCAGAAGTAGACAAAATCGTCGGCGGTTGAGACTGAGCTCATGAGCGCTCACGGTTTGAGTTATGAGCTTGTTTCTCCTGTGCCCAAAAGCAAGTTCAACTGGCTGACCAAAGATCGCGAGCATGGCAAGCGCAGTGTAGTCATCACTCCACAGGAACGGATGACGGAGTGGGTTGTAAAGCCTTAAGGATGAACACTACCAGTTGAGAATCAATCGCTCCGCTCTCTTTTCAGCACGCCAACGTCCGCTTGCAACAACAGGAGCTCCAGTGGATTCGCTTGGTCATCATGAAGTCTTACAATCTTGCAGGTTTGCCTGATCAGTCATGAGTGGACTCCTTGGAAACAACTGCCCATGTGGCCCATGTGATAATATTACCGAAACAGTTCCTGATCTGAAATCAAACCACTAAAAGACCTGCTTGGGGTCCATGCCGATGTGCCAAACGAATTGTCCCATCACTGTTTCGCACTGGGTCTCCTTCTGCTTCTCAGTGCTGCGGTCTGGCAGCTAGCAGCTTGCTTCGGACCACCTCGGGCCAGTAAATGGGGTCCACAATGGAGCTTATGATACGGCTTATGGAATCAAGCAAACATGAAAAAGGATGGCAAGACCAGCTGAACGGACCAGCTTTCCTCCTCTCCCCAGCTCAACGGCTGGAACCGCTTCGAGTTCGGTGGCTGGGACGTCCGCCTGGACTCAAAGCTCAAAGATGCTCCGATCCACACATTTTTGGAACTGGGGAGAACTCTTGGTCGTTCATCCCCAATGGACATTCCATCTCCAAACGGTGCGCTTGCGAGAGTCTGACTGGTGAGAACCTGTTGGAGTTTCCGGAAACAGTTTAGAAGTGAACTACCTTCCCTAGCAACACATTCACCAACCTCTACAGTCTCTAGGTCTTTACTCAGGCATTGAGTGAGTCACACTTTGGGAAGTCCTCATACCTTGCTACTCTGAGGGGCCAGGTGCTTTCTGTCCAAGCTTCGGGGTTTGCTCAAGGTCCAAGGTGCTGTTTGTTTCTTTTCTCACCAAAACCATCAGCAGCTGGCGGACAAACGCCCAACTCCCCGACGAAGCCCACCCCGAACCCGTTGCTCCACGGGCGTGCCGTCCTTTTTCTCTCTGGGTTGCGCGGGGACCATCCGTGCTGCGCTCCGCCGCAGGCTGACGCCGGGCCTTCCGCCGGGGGTGAACGGACCACTACTTTGCCTGCTTGGCGGCCTTGCGGTCGCCGCGCGTCACCTGGGCCGCGAGCGACGGAGAACCTCACCCAGTACGTTGAAAGGTCTCAGGACCCTCCCAACTCCAACGGTCCCAGGGCCCCCTTCCTCCCGTTGGATGGCCCCCGAATGCAAAGGACGATAGCCTCCGAAATAGCGGCGTTCAGCAACACATCCGTCCTCGAAAAGAAAAAGACAAACAGAACCCAGTTCCCCTCGTCGCGTTCGCAACCATCTCTTGGAGAAGAACACCTCCTCCTCCTCCTCCTCCTTCGAATATTGTAACCAAGGGAGATCCGGCGCCTTCCGGCCGTTGGTATGTCGCTTTCTTGGGCTTTTGCCCATGTGTCTTCCCTGGGGATGGAGTGTCTTCCTTTCTTTCTTTCTCCCTCTCTCTCCCTCCCTCTCTTCCTCCCTGCTTCACACCCAACGACCATTCCCGCGTTACGGACCGTCGCTTGGTCCCGCTGCGGACCAGGCCACTGCGTGGAAGCCAGCCTTGATGGACGCCGCTGTCCGCGAGGCGCCGCACCGGGAGCATTCCACCATGGTGAGCCGTGTGGAGGGGTCCTGGCCACGTCCGTCGGGTGGAGAAAGGATGGGAGACCATGGGAGATCTAGGAAGGGGCAGCAGGTCAAAAAGCAAGGCACTGGTACTAGAACGCTACTTAGGGGCTCCTGGCATTGCTACGAACGGAGCATTCTTACATTCCATGCGGTTTGACCGTGGGGCCACACGCAGTTTTCCCCCAGAAGCCGTCCTTCCGGAGAGTGGTCGCGGCAGACTTGCACATCTCGCATGTGACATACTCCTGCAAAGAGAGAACCCCGGTGGAACAGCTCCACACCTGAAAAAGGACAGCTATGTTTCAGCCACTGGCTGGGACTTCCCTTTCATGGTGAGAATAGACCGGCATAAGCAACAGTCTTTCAAGAGAACCTCCGAAAGATTGGGGCAACGTACTGAAAGAACATGCGAAAGCCGACCACTTTCAAAGAAAAACGGACTGCATGCCGGTTTCGTTCTTGCTTGGCTTAGTTCCAGCTTCGCCTGTTGGGTCTCCCTTCGCCGCAATGTCATAGATGCATGACTTGTGTCTCAAACAAGCTTGAAGCTGAGCCTGTAGTAGCGTCCTTATTACTAGTAGCGATGGCCTCCCTCTAGTGGCGTCCTTGTTACTAGTTTTCTCTGGACTGGACACGTATCACACAAACCCCTTGAACCCAGGAGGCAAATGATGCTGAAGCACCAGCGACGATTCTCACCCAAACTACCACGACGACCGACGATGGTGAAAAAGAAGCGACGGTCATGGGAAAGGTCAACGACGTTTTTCGGGATGCACAGGGTATGCTTATCGTTCATCCAACGCCAGAGTTTCCATAGAACACGATGCCACAAAAACTCAGCCTCAGGTGTCTTCCGTCACGAGCAGCGAAGGAACGAAGCGCGGTGTAAGAACGTCCCAAGGAGGTGTTTGTCGCCCCAACTGGCCAGAACGTTACTACTAGCTTCTTGTTACTACTAGCTTCTTGTTACTACTAGTAAGGCACCTGTTACTACTAGCG